GCTGGCCGCCGGGCTTTCACCCGCCAGGCCCTCTTCCGCGCTCCCCCGCGCCGCTTCAACTCCAGCAAGGTCGAGGAGGCTCACCTTGACAAAGCCGGCAAGCGTGACCCCGAGCTCTACGTACGAATCCCACAAGCCATTAAACCCCCCAACAGAGCTATTTGCCTAATTCATATGTCTCCAGGTTCTCCTCGGTGTCATGTCTGGTGCTTTCATGATCGCCGGATGGTGAGCATCCCTCCCAATATTCTCCTACATCTCCCGATCTCCAAATATTTCGCCCCATTTGCACCATTGTGACGTACCGGCATACTCAATCGAGCACCCCGACCGACTCACGTCTATCAATGGCGCATTTTCAAACACAATGCAAGCTTGAGCACCGGCTAATTCGTGATTTCGCAATCATTAGGTACTTCGGCCGCAAGCCCACCTCCGTCAACTCCGAGAGCAACGTTCGCATTGGCGAGAGTGCCATGCCCTGGGAGAACGTTTCCGAGGATGGCAAGGTCTACAAGTACCAGTACCACCCCCACGGTGACAAGAGCCAGCCCCTCCGCGCTGCCCCCAGTGCCATGAACACCGTCATTGTTCCCAATGTCACCCTGCCCGAGGTATGTCCCATTGGATTCTCTAACCAATATGCCATACCCGATAACCCGGTCCAGGATACCGTGGCCGGCTTGGTTGTCTCGATATAGAATGCTGACACATGCTTTAGGACCTCCACGAGCGGTTCAACAAGTACGGCAAGGAGGAGTGGGACTACTAAACGGCTATTGATTAGCTGTAAGAAGTGCCTTTAGAAGTTGAATGAAGCGAACCGCCGTATCTTGCGGCTGGCTGCTGTATACTAAGACTGCTAAGACTGCGGGGAGAAGGGGCTGCGTGGGTTGACCCATTTGGATTGCAAGGGTTTTTGTGCATAGTATTCGTGTGTTCAGATAAAGAGTCAATTAGGAATCGATCTCTTTTTTGCGCTACATTTTCATCCGCTAATGAAATGTGTATGGTGTCCTGCCGCTAACATGCCCAAATTAAGTTAACTTCGCACAAGTTTGAAAGTGATAAAACTGACTCATGTTACCGATGTACAATTGCCTCCAATTTGTGGATATCAGTGTTGATTATGGAAACACTAGCAAAAAGCTAACGACGAAGAAACAACAACTACTCTATCGAGTCTCATTATACATGGGCTAACAAACTCTGACCTCATACACTATGTTCCACAAATTCACTGCTTAGTAGCCTCATTGCCCTCACTAGCAGGCTTAGCCTCCAGGGAGCTAGGCTGCTCGACGGAGCTTTCATTGCCCTCAGCCACAGAGGCCGGGCTCTCAGGGGGCACGGAGTCCCCGGGACCGCTAGCGGTCTCAGGGTTCTGACCCTGCACATCCGGGTGCGGGGGCGCGAGCTGTCCGTCGACGACAGGGACCTCGTGGGCGTTCTCCATGCGAGAACCAGGCTCATAGCGAGTCTCGAACTTCACCTTACCTTCGGCGCGGAGTGAAGCGACCAGATCCTCGGGGAGAACGTTGCCGTTTTGGTCGCGGTATTCAACGCGGGCCATGGAGCCTTGGATCTTGGGCGAGGTGACGGCTGCTTCTCCGGAGCTCTCGGCGGGCTCAGCGACGGGAGGTGCAAACTCTTGGGCCTGGACTGGTGGCGGTGCAGGAGGAGCTTGAGCTGCGGTTGTTGGGATAGCCTGGGGAGGGTCGGGCACATATTGGGTGATGTATTGACGCAACTATTGGTGGGAGCAATTCCATGTCAGTTCATGGTCACGTCGATTCAGTAACCTCGCCGGGGAGGCTGCCATTCCGGAACACTTACGTCGGTGTGGAAGGTGTTGCAGTCGAAATCCCAGGATCCGAGGAGCTTCACCTGGTTGCATGCGTCCCGAGTCCAAGGGTTTCCATATACGAGTGGGGCATAGATGGTGAAAACCAAGACGCTGAGACCGAGGAATGCTGCCATCAAAGCCTTTCCGATCACGGGCCTGGAAGCAAGTCCCAGGCTCTGGATACGGTTAGTGATGAAGTCAAACTCTTGGCAGAGAACCATAATGGCGAAGTACAGGGCCGGGAGATAGTGGTGCAGGAAGAGCTGGCGAGCCATGAGGTAGAATGGGAAGTAGTGGAAGAACCATCCCAGGACGCTGGTACCAATCTCATAGTCAAAGCGCTTGAAGGCAACGTTGTTGTAGTCACCACAGCTGCGCTGCCAGCGAATAATGGAGATAGCCTTGAAAACGAAGTAGATACCAACGGCCAGGGTGGTAGACCACCAGATCAGCGGGTTTCCAAGCAGGTAAATTTGGCGGTTGTCCTTGCCCCAGAAGTTGATACCGCGGAGGAGAGTGGGCCAAGAGGGAGGGCGAGAGTCCCAAGCGTGCGATTCAACCAAGCCAGCGTTGGTGGTCCACATAACCTTCTGCAACTCCCAGAACTTGCCGAGGAATCCAGGATTACGGTAGTTGACTTTTTCGGCGTCTGCAGCCATGGCGGGATGATGGTTGTCCTCGACATACCAGACACTGTTGGGAAGGGTACCACCACGGGCACAGGTCACTTCCTGCTGCTCCCATCCCCAGTCCGGAAGCTTGACCTTATGGGAGAACAGAACACAGCCGGTCATGACGTGCACCAGCTTGAACTTGGTTTGGATAGTTCGCAGACGCTTCTTGGATTCCTCGGTCTCGGACATGGATGGAACAATCTCGACCTTGAACAGATCATTGGCATCACCAGGGAAACCTTCGTATCCATAGGCAGACACCTCGTACTGCCAGTCAGCCTCAGTCACAGGAGGGCGCTCATCGTGCGAGTGAATTCTGCGGTGAGTAATCGAATGGTAGAGTCTGATGACGGAACCGTCCTCGATGAATCCAGGAGCAGTCAAGTTGTCCCAGGCGAAGGGACCCTCAACCTCTCCATAAGGGCCAAGAGGCTGAGTCTGGTTCTCCAAAAGGAACAAGTTGTTCTCATCCTTGTGCGGGTAGAGAGTGACTTGCTGTTGCTTGCTGCCAGTGGGGTACATGTGAGGGTGTGAGTGCAGGTAGCCACCCTGGGTATTCAGGTGACGAATGCTGACTCGGGAACCAAAGGAGACATCCGCGGGAACATCCTGCATAGACTTGGAGTTCAGAGTTGCCTGGAACTCCGAGGACATGAATCCGTCACCTTCTCCAGGGTTGACCAAGCACATGAAATGAATAGCGAACATGGCAAGGTAAAACCCAAGAGGGATGACAATGAGACAGAAGACTCGGGAGAAGAAATGCTTGAACCAGAGGCGCTGCATCAAAAGTTAGCTCTGAACATCAACTGATTTCCGTTCAGAAATACATACCGGTGTGACAGTCTTGGAATCGCCCAGCAGCACCCACAACTGGAGAGCCGTAAGGGATCCAACCCACGCCATAGTGAAAAGACCAACCCACTTGACGCTAAGGGTAGCGCCGAGAGAGAGACCAGTAAACACCAGCCAGAACCACCACGGTCCGCCAAAGGCATGGGAGGGTCCCAGCTCCTGCTGGTTGGTAAAGCAACTGAATGACAGAGCGGTCAGAGCAGTAAAGAAGATCAACGGAGAATCGAGAAGAATAAGACGAGATTGAGTAACCAAAGCGTTGTCTGCAAAGTCATTAGATATAGCTCCAGCATGAACCAATAAATCCATAACTCAAGCATACCAAAGATTACAACACCGGCACCCATGACGGCAGTCGAAGTCCGGCATCCAGTGACCTTAAGAGTGAGGAACATTAAAGGAACAGTAAGAACACCCAGGATAGCTGGGAGCATGCGCATTGCCACATATGGGACACCGGGCTCCAGGTAATCCTTGCCAATATCCTTGAAGTCGAAGTTTCCGTCAAAACCGGCCAGCCAGCCAGCAAGGGTAATCAGCAGTTTAGCCAGCGGAGGGTGAACATCCATGAAGAATTTCCCCTTGATATACTTGGACGCAAAGCCACCGAAGCTGTTCAAAAACACAACGTATTAGCACCCCACTTTCTTTTCAGTTGATACATGTATTTGGCGAGGAACATACTGGACTTCATCGAAGACAACGCTGGTGGGCTGGTAAATTCTGAACAGACGGACAGCTGCCGCAATCAGAGTGACCAGCACAACCAGCTTGTAGTCCGAGCCGGGAAGCTTGAAGATATCATTGTTCTTCACGCCATCCGAGGCATAGCTCTTGGGTGCCGCGGCCGCCATAGGCTTGCGGTTCTTGGGCTTTGGCGAGCGACTGGGCGAGCGGCCACCGCGGCTCTGAGGCCGCACTGCCAATGTGTCTTTTGATTTCTGCCCCATTTTGTTCCAATTGTCTGATGCGGATGTGAGACGACGTCAGCGGTTCAGGAGATCGGCACGAGGGGTCGGAATTTCGAAAGAAGAAAATATGAGATAAGTCGTAGTTGAACTGTGATATGATCACTAAAGAGAGGCTTGTAGATAATGGATAAGTGGACGTCGAGAGCAACTTTTGGCCTCGAGCTCCAAGCAAGCACCGCACCGATTAATGATCGTGTAACGACGAGAAAGAAGGCCCCATGACAGGGAAGAAATAAGAAAAAAGAAAAAGGGCTGAGGAGGGAGAGTAAGAAGAAAATAGGAAACAGTCAAGAGGCGAGAGCAGCGATGGACGAAAGCGTTCAGTTCCGCCTTAAGGCCAGATCGACGGCGGCTGTGGACGACCGACCCCCTTAACTTTTTAGCCCCCAGTACTGTTACGTTGATTTTACTAGCGAGATTTTTGGAGTAAAAGTGCATATTGTGACTACGACTTTGCAATTAATTGAGCCCACAACCATCCTCGAGTGCATGAAATACAAGTAAACAGTCCCATTCCGGAGGTGGAGTAGACAAAGGAGAGAAACATGGCCGCGCACGGGTACTGCCATGCTTCACCGCCACAGCCTGGAGTAGTCAGCAACGTCTATCAGTCCTGGAAAAGACCGGCACATCTTCATATCCTCATCACCCGCCATGGAGTCGAATGGAAATACCCCTATGATGGAGGAGACCAGCAAGCCTCCAGAGGGCTTAGTGCTCCCCCCCAAGGATATTAGAGGTGAGTTACAGGACTGATCTTTCTGAACCAGGTGGCTAACATCGCGATCTAGCAATTGTCGAGAAGACCGCAGGCTATACCGCTCGCAACGGCGCTGTCTTCGAAGGTACGTCTCCCCCACGAACCCACAAATCGCGCGACAGGAGCTGACTTCTGGGTATCTAGACCGTGTTCGCGAGAAAGAAAAGGCGAACACGAAATTCTCCTTCCTGCACGCCGGTGACGCCTACGCGCCCTACTATCAATGGCGCCTTGCGGAGATCAAGGAAGGCCGCGGAACTTCAGTATCAGCAGGACGCACTGGAGAGACTGGAGCTGTCGCAGAACCCGAAACGCCCAAGGGGCCACCTGAACCCGCCGCTTTCCACTTCTCGGCGCGCATGCCCAACATCAGCGCACAAGACCTGGAGGTAGTCAAGCACACAGCTTTGTTTGTCGCAAAGCGTGGGAAATCCTTCATGACCGCACTGTCCCAGCGCGAGGCCAGAAACTTCCAGTTCGACTTCCTACGACCCCAGCACAGTCTCTATCAATTTTTCACGCGATTGGTCGACCAGTACACTATCTTGCTCCGCGCGGAGGGTATCGACGAAGCTACCTCATCTGTGAAAAGAATTGCTGAGCTGGAACAAAATGTGCAAAACAAATTCCGCGTCATGGAGCGCGCCAAGCAGCGCGCCGAGTGGGTGAAGTTCCAAAAGCAACAGAAGCAAGAGAAGGAAGACCAAAAAGAACAAGAGCAGATTGAGTACGCCCAGATTGATTGGCACGATTTCGTGGTGGTAGAAACCGTCGAGTTCACCGAGGCCGACGACAACGCTGGGCTCCCACCGCCGACCTCCCTCAACGACCTCCAATCCGCCTCCCTCGAGCAAAAAGCAGCTCTCTCCCTCAACACACGACGCATCGAGGAAGCAATGCCCACAGACCTTGACAACCCAACATACTACAACGCCTACCCAGCCCAGCCCGAACCAGTCATCGCCCCCCAACCCTCCATATCGCCCTACCCAGCCGGCCCTTACGCCCCACCAAACCAGTACACAAACCCGGAAGAGGAGCAACGCATCCGCGAGCGCATGCAAGCACGCGACCAAGCCGCGGCCGCCCAAGCAGCAGCCACAGCAATCCCAGGCCAGCAACCAATGCGCATTCGCTCAGACTACGTACCGCGCGCCCAGGCCCGCCGCCAACAAGCCGGTGCTATGGCCATCTGCCCATACTGTAACCAGAAGGTCCCCTCGGCCGAGCTGGACGACCACATCCGTATCGAGCTCCTCGATCCACGCTGGAAGGAACAGCGCGCCAAGGCCGACTCCCGCAGCGCAACAACTAACCTCTCCACCGTCGACGTCGTCAACAACCTCAAGCGTTTGGCCAGCCAACGCAGCGACGTCTTCGATCCATCGCCCGCCGACCCAGAAGAGGAGGCTCGCCGTAAGCGCATGGCTATGGATGGCTCGGCTGGTCAGCAGGGTCCGACTGTTGGACCGGCTGGTGTGCCTAACCCCAATAATCCTCAGAATATGAACATCGAGGATCAGTTGAGACACATTCATCAACTTGCCAAGAAATGATATCCCCACATCCTAGACTTGGATGGGGTGTTCCAAAGATTTTTGATCTTAAGTTAGGGTTTAAGGGGTTTTTTGCTTTTCAACTTCACGTATCCTGTTGCTACAATTCGGAGTTTGGGAGGGATGATTCGGATGATGTGCTTTTCTTTGTACCATAGGCCCCTCTGACTCTACATAAATCTACGAAACATCTCGTCTAATCTGTGCTTTAGTTCATACGTATACCGGAGGTGATTCTGTATTCGAAGCATAGTCAAAAGTCAACATTTGGAGACAAGGTTAGTATATCCTCTGTTTATTACCTTCTCTTGAGCTTGTTCCTTGCAACTGTCTAATCTAACTCGAGGTAAAAACCATCTCTGAATTCAATCCGACTCAATTCATCTATCATTCACCAAAAAGCCCCACCACCAATTGCAGCCAGACATACCAGCATTGCGGCGAGTTGAGAATTGAAAACAACACAGAATAAAAAGGAAAACAGAACTAGAAAAATGAAGTCCATCAGTACCACAAACACCTGGGTCCCATTGCCCGCAAAAGGAAAAAAAGGAAAGAAGAACACAGAATAAAAAACAAAAGACAAGCAAAACATATTATGTATACGTAATTGAAAGGAAAAGGGTAATAATAATACACGGTGATATGCTGAAAGCAGAGGTGAAAAAAAGAAGACACCGAAGGAACCAAGATGGTGAGTGAAATTCGCCACCATCACCACATTGACGAAGCAAATAGCGCCAATAATTAAAGAAAAAGGTATAAGCAGCATTGCCAGAAACCAGAAGAAGGTCTGTATCAATGATAGAAGGAGAATTAAGTGACTTGGAAATGCAATGCCAAAAAGAAAAGGCAGGGAAGACATTAGGTGGGTGAATCATGAAATGCTGGGCAAGCGTGCAGTCGTCTCACTCGTGGTGAGTGCTCATAGAATCAATCATGCGAGTCAAGAGGTACCGGCATGTTGTATGGGGGGTTCTGCCTCTGCCTTTGCCTCTGCCTCCGTATCTTTAGTGTGAGCAGGTGTGGAAGGCTCGTTCGAGACATGTTCCTTAATGTCGATGGTCATGTCCGCATTGGCCTCTTCGTAAACGCTCAGGTCGGAGTCGGCAGAAATCCGCTTCAGCTCCTTTTCGCTCATGGACATATCGTCTCTATCATAGATGGAACTTTGCGGTCGAGGGATATCAGATTGAGCTGTGTGGTTGTCGAGCGAAACTTCGGCTGCTTTTGGCCGGAGATAAGTGACGTCCACAGGCTCAAGGTATTGCTCATCATCGTCCTCGTTGGTGCCATTATTAAAGCATGTAGGTTCGGTTTCGAGTTCAGACTCGTTTTGTCGCTTGAACAAAGGGATGATGCCGGCGCCAATGCGAGACCAGAACATCCTCTCCCTTAGGCGAATGGTTTCATCCCAGATTTCCTTTTCTTCTTCGGTATCACCAGCGCGAAGGTGTCCGTCAAGAATAAGGCGCAAGTACCCAGTGAACTCGCAGCAGGAGCGCACTCGTTCCAAGCAAAGAAGACAGAGCGAATATCTTTGGGCGTTCTCACTGTCCGATGTGCGGAATCGATGGGTTCTCTCATTGTCTGTGCCGGTTCTGCGTTCACCACAGACGGAGCAGGGGAACTCAAACTTCTTTGAAGCCAAGGGCATTGGCTCCACAACAAGACTTCCCTCGCAGATGCCACTGAGTACAGTTCGTCGGGTCAACCACGAGATTCCTGGAGCCAAATCCAACCGCAAGGTAGGCTCAATGTCCTCCATAAGGACCCGCTTGTAGAAGCGTGTTTCCTTCAAAGGAATATGAGATCCGGTTGTTGAGGACATGCTCCCATTGGGCGAATGGGCAAATCCTTTGGTGGGTGAAGAAGTCGCTGATGAAGCTCCCCCACTTGCGAAGCTTGCCAACCCCATTCCCATTACGTTCAATCCACCGTACGAGCCACTAGCAGCACGGCTGGGAGGCTTGGAGCTCCGAGAGAGGACCAACAGATCACGGAAATCCTCATAAGCGGGTAGATCAGTCCGGCATATCATGCGGAGCATTTGCGGGAAATTGCAAGAAGGGCCCGGGGTGAATTCTTCGGCGTTGCAGATTGATGCAGGAACCGGTTCAAGTTCAGACTCTTGCTTTGCGGAACTTTGCGCTTGCGGGGGGCCAGCAGGGGATGGTGGGGCCGTTGTAGTACGGGCATCGACGTCATCCTTGGAGATGTGCATCCCTTGCATAACGGACTTGAGCTCGGCGAGCTGGTCTTGGTGCGACGCCAGGAGCAACTCTGTGTCTTTGATTTGTGAACGCAATTGTTCGTTCTTCTTCTCCACGGCTTCGCGTTCAATCTTAGCCGCAGCTACCATCTAGAAAGAATGTCAAAATTGAGTTCGTTCGAATATGCAGAGTAGGCAAGATATGACCAACCTTATTGGCTTCTTCGAAGAGAGCTGCAGTCAGAGTTTCCAGCTCCTGCTCAATGGTCTTCTTGCCCTTTTCAACAGCAGCACGCTGTGTCTGCTCTTCCGCAAGTTCATTTCGTAATTGTAGGATTTCGCGATCAGAGTCGGCCTTTTTGGTGTAGACCTTGGTATCGATGTCACGGCGGTATTTCTCATTCTGAAATTCGAGAGCTTGGATTTTGCCCTGTGCAAGCTCCAGCTCTTGTCGGGTAGCGACCAAGCTGTCGTCCAAATTTGTTTGGTTGTTGATAGCCTGAATCAGTTTCACAGACAATGCTGCAACCTCATTGCTCAGATCGGGGTGGTGAGACGATGACGTCGAATGTGAAACCTCCGCTCCGACAGCCAATCGCGGATCCTGCAAGGTGCTGAAACTGCTATCGTCGAACCTGGAAGATCGTTTCGAACCGGAGGAGGCAGCGTCGGAGAGATTGGTGGTGGACTTGGCTTTGGTGACGGTTCTGTCGGGGGATAGGGAGCGGTGCTCGGAAGAGATGGACCTCTTATGGGCGTGGCGTGGAATCATATTGGATGTGGAGAAGAAACTATGATGAGAAGTTTGAAAGGCAATTAAACTGCCCCCCTGAGCGTCAACAATTGGCTCCAACTGCAAGAGGCATCTTGATCCCGAAGACTTACTCGGCCATGGTGAGTGACGTAGACGGCGTTCAAGGAATGTGAAGCAGGCGAGATATGTCCCCGCTGATCACCAAATCAATATCACGCACACAGAAGCTGTTGTAGATAGGTCACTGCTGAAGCCATTCACACCGGAGAGAGAATGTTTGAGACTGGTAAGGATGCGCGTGCGTTCGGGGTGTCGTGTAGGTGATGGATCGGGAGCTTAAGTCCGGATCGGGAGGAAACAGAGATGGAGAGGCAAATGAACCGACAGAAAGGACAGAGTCGAAGTGAAGGAAAAGAATTGAATGGCCACACGCAGGTCCGATGGGTACTATCACCCCGATGATGGCGCTGGAAGAGTTGGGAGGTTGCAGCGCGAACGTCCACGAGGAGGCAACGCTTAGTCACCCTGGACTATTGAAAGGATCGGCTGCGCTACTCCAAGCGCAATACGTGAAGACTTTAATATGGGTGAAATTGGTCGATGCGCCAGATTGAGGGGGAATTAGGCAGTCTAATAAGCTAAACCGGAGAAATCCTCCATTTCCGCCACCCGGGGACCGAGACCTCCGGGCGCTTGTGCCGTGATAGAGAGATACCTGGGAGCAGGGATGATTTCGAGCTAAACTCGAAATTATCACCCGGGATCTCACACTTGCGACTCGGCTATTTTCGATCAAATCACGGCCGTATTTGCCCCTCGCATCCCGGTGAGGCGCAGCATTGGAGATATAGGGAATATGAGGCTCCACGTTTACTCCAGACTGTTTCATCCCTGTGCAAGATTGACGGCATGTTGACCTCAATTGCAAGAGGGTTGACTTTTCCATTGACTATTGCCTAATTGTAAGTTATATTCGTGCATGTAGATGTATGATACAGTATCCATGAGCCATGCGATGGATAAAGAGTCCGATGCGAACGCGCAAGTAATTTCCATTCAATGAACATATAACAATGTATCAGGCAATTAGACCATCTGTAATTCCCAAGCATCCTATGCCTCTCAGGAGTATATTATACTCATAACTTACTTCATAGTTCAATGTTCCACGTGCAATTCCCCGCGTGCGGCCTCAGGCGGAAGTGGGGTTCAATCAAATCTTCAATCTCGACTTTAACATCATCACTTGACTTATCACCATGGCGGACGCAGAGCTAGAAGAGGTACTGCCTTAACCCCCAAGGATAGGCACCCAACTATCCCTGACGGTGCTAACGCAGAAAGCAGATCAGACGAGCTCGCCTCGCGCAACTCCAACAGCAACAAGGAGCACGTGGCGGCCCCGCTGGTCAGGATGGTGGCGATCAGGCACAGCAGAGACAGTGAGTATTTGATGATAAATTGCGCGATGGGACAGACGTATACTAATTCTTGCAAATAGACAAGCTGAGGGTAGGTCCCACGACCCGAAGTCCTAATCCACGTGAAACCGCAGTGGATAGACCTCCAACACCGTGATTATACCCCTGTATATCTGACGCAATCTTTCTACTCCAGCCGAACGCCGCGCCTCAATTATGACCCAGATCCTTGACCCCGCGGCCGCCGATCGCCTGGGCCGCATTCGCCTTGTCAAGGAATCGCGCGCAACAGACATCGAGAACCGTCTTATCATGCTCGCTCAGTCGGGTCAGCTACGACAGAAGGTGACAGAGGAGCAGCTCAAGGAGCTGTTGGGTGCTGTTGCAGAGAACCAGCGCAAAGAGGAGGAAGAGCAGAAGATTGTCATTTCTCGTCGCAAGGGCGGTTGGGATGACGACGATGATCTGCTGGACCTGTGAGGGTCAAACAAAATGCTGTGATCTACAGACTTTTGAAATTATTGCATTTGGATACCTTTTTTGGGTTAGCCGTCCTCTTGGGCCACTTGGGATATCCCCTTGGGCGTTATGGTCCCATGTTTTACACTACTTTGCAGCTTGGTTGAATTGAAGGCAATCCGCCTCGCATTTGCGAATTGGTAATATTCTTTACAACCCTTTAATCATACACACCTCCCTCTGTCGAGGGCTACATCTCGAACAAAACAAGAAACAGCTCACCTCACCCCGAAGCCTGCAACTTCTCCTTCTCCCTCTTCTGCTGCTGCCGAATCATCTTCCGAATATCCCTCAAATCCGGCGGCCGCTCAATATTAAGCTCAGCCCTAAGCTCATCAACATCCTTCTCGAGTACTTCCTCCCAATAAACATTAATAAGCTCATTACTTCTCAACCCACTTCGAATAGCCCACGGCAAATGTAACGAAAGGAACCTCTCTTTCTCCGCCGGCTTCATACGCACAAAAGCAAAAAGACTCAAACCCGTCATGGGCAACAGCGTATTCAAGAATTCCAGCGCTTTAAGCGCCAGCTCGCCCTCAACGAAGATCGGCAGTCCCGTCACGGCGTGGTAGAAGTCGTGGCACTCACGGTACCGCTGCATGACATAGGCGCATTCTTCGTTGTCGATGTATTGTACGTTGTCGCGCGTGTCGGGGGATACACCTTCGCGGTCTAACCATGTAGCGTAGGTGCGGCCGACGGAGTTCTCGGGGAGGCTGCGGAGGTGGGTCATTTGGAGGGTTTCGGAGGTTATGCGTGGCCGGTCGCGCAGGATGCGTCGTCCTGTTGGGCTTGAGAGCATGGCGTCGCGGAGTCGGTATATGAAATATGGTGTTGCGGTTGCTTCGCCTAGGGCTGCGATGAGATCTATATTCGTTGTTAGACTCGGGATTGCTGGTCGTTTTCGGGCCACATTGATGGGTTCAAGTACCCGCTCTTCTGGGATTGATTAGGGATCCCAATGCTGAGCCCACAGCCAGAGCTCCGCGTTCAATTGTAGTCAATGGGACATGACCAGGGTAATTCGGTGGTGGGCGGTTTAGAACGGAGAAGGGTCGTAGAGCACAGGATATAGTCGGCTTGGTAGTCAAAGGTCGAAGCTCAATTGCTCCACGCCTCCTGAGGACCGACATTATGAGTACCGGAGTATGTGAACTGTGAGCATGTTCTCGGAAGCTGAATTGGAGGTCGTACGATTATCAGATCAGAAACAGCGTGGATGGTCGTTATGGGCTGCCGTAGGCGATAACATTATCGATAAACATCTCCACATCTACTGTCAATTTCACTCATTTGTACGGTCCGTATTGTATGCGCAGTAAAGATCAGCCTGCTTTGAAGCTCCTTAGGATTCGAGAGATCGATCCGTAACAGGTATCTCAATCCAAAACCAGATCTATATCTGGAACCTAATCCCCCATCTCTTGGCGCAAGTTAATCACATGCAGTCACGTTACCTCAAAGTCCCCAGAAGCACTTCCATTCTCTCAAAATGAAGCCAGAATGGTGGCCAGGCGAAGAGCACGAAGCTTTCACAGAATGGGCAGTCTCCAACGGCGTTGACACCAACAATGTCACCCCAGCTCGGTTTCCAGGTCGAGGCCTAGGAATGATGGCCACGCAAAAAATCAATGTATGAGTCCAAAGCTATGTCACTTTGGATGTACATGGACCTATACTTACTATTGGCCAATTCAGAAAGGAGATGCAGTCCTCCGGGTCCCAACAAAGCTAATGATAATTGCGGACTCCATCCCTACCACATTCACCAAACAGTTCCCAGAAGACATAGCCGTTCAAGCTCTTCTAGCAGCGTACCTCACGCACGGGGATGCAGAAGATCTGTCAAAATGGGAATTATGGCGCAAGTCATGGCCCAGTCGTCAAGTTTTCGCGGACAGCATGCCGATCCTATGGCCAACTGTTTTAGGAGGACCGAAATGGCCCCCAAGCAACGACAAGAACGAGGACGTTGTCGACTTAAACAAGCCAGGTTTCTTTCCTCCATCAATCTCAGGTCGCTGGAATAGCTTGAATCCCGGACCTAAGACGAGGAAGTACGAGCTAGATCATCAGAATATTCTTCCGAAGCAGGTTCAGCTCTTGAGTAAGGCATGGTTTGATGTTGTTGCTGTTTATCCAGAGACTGAGTGGGATACATTCTCTTACCACTGGCTTATTGTGAATACGAGAAGCTTTTATTGGATCGGACTGGGGCAGGAGGCTCCTGAGGACCCTAATGATGCTATGGGGTTGGTGCCTTTTGCTGATTACTTTAATCATGCTGATGTTGCTGTATGGATTTTTCTTCTGGACTGGAGGTGTGCATTGTTTCTGGACTGACTCTACACACAGCGAGACGTGAAATTTGACGAAAATGAATACGTCTTCTGCGCCACGAAGGACTATGAAGAAGGTGATGAGGTCTACATGAATTACGGAAGCCATCCGAATGATACTTTACTGGCAGAATGTGAGAAATTTATGGGATCCCAACTCTCAGTTTAGCATACTAACACTCTTTACAGATGGATTCTTCCTCGATGTGAACGAGGCAGACTCAGTGTATCTCGACGATATCGTCTTCCGAGACATTCATACACCCGAGCAACAAGAAGACCTGTGGTTAAACCAGTATTATGGGTAAGTTGATTTGTTTTTGGGGTGATATATTACAAAAGATGCCCAATTCCCGTGCGCCATATCTACACCAGTTCACCATTAACACAACGCCAGCAATTACCAAGTCACACCGCATGGTCCATGCTATCGCACCGAGGTAGCCGCATGTCTGAGTTATATGAAAGAGGAGGACTGGCGGAACCATGTACTCGAAGGCATGACCCATGGACTGGATGAAGACAGGTCCGAGGTCACGCTGAAGAGGTGGATTTTGGCATATGCAACCGAGGCACAGGCAACTATCATTGCACTGCAGACAGCGATCGATAACGATACCACGGTGCAGGCACATCGCCAAAAAGCGGAGACATTGTTGAGGCGGTGGGAGCAGATTAGAAATCTCTGTGAGAATGCTGCCAAGACAGTCTCGACATAGAGGTCATTCCAGAAGAAGATAGATCACTATTCAATCTTCTGATCTGGTCTCGTGTGGGGCGATAATGGGAAGATTCAATTGAACGATTACAACAGTAGTGCAGATCATTGAGGTTCCTCGCCATCAAACATGATATCCTCATGACTGAAAGGCACCTCAGCGCGGTCTCTCTGCGCTAGGGCAGTCGCTTTGCCGGTGATGAGATGCTTTATCATGTAGTTGAGTGCGCACTTAATACCCAATTCTTCACCACGACGCACAATATAGCCATTAAAGTACTCGATCTCTGTCGTCCTTCGGTTGTTGATATCCTGCAGCATGGAGCTTTCATTTCGAGCCGTCATACGCGCGATACTCACGACGTAGCGACGCAGGCGTTCTGCAGAGAAGCGATCTTCAATACCCGGGACGCCTTGCAGCTCAGGAAGAGCACATATCACAGCCGAGATCTCGAATAGCAACAATCGCATGACGCGAGTGTAGCTGAACGAGTAAAGGAGCTCGCCGTTGTTACACTCGCCCAATGCTGTTATGGGGTTGATGCAGCAATTGACTGCCAACTTCTCGAGTTGGTATTGGATAAGACCTGCCGGCGTTTCAGCTGTGGCAACCAAAGCCGGGGTCAAAGTCAAGAGCTGCATCAGATATTTTGTTGTTGGCGCCCATGATTTCTCGGCGTCAGGTCCTGTGAGATGTGCAACACGATGCCCAACGGGGCTGAGGATTGTAGTTCCGACTCCCATGTGGGCTATGCTGAATTGTTCTTTGCGGGTCAAGCCATGACTGAAGACACCCTGGATGTAATTGGGTCGTGTTTCGGGATCCGGGAAAACCTTTTGGTTGAGGATATCAATCACGCCCATACCATTGTGGATAAAGCAAACAGTTGATTCAGGCGTCAAACGGTGAGCTATTTCTTCCATAGCAAGCACCGTATGGTGGGCCTTGGTGCATACAATCAGGTTCTCAATAGGACCAGAAGCTTCCGGGTTGAAGAATGGTGACTTTGTCCCGCCCGGACCCCGATCGTGCTTGGAAGGCGCTGGGTACCAAGTTCCATTAGGGTCCACTACTTCAACGTCGAATCCCTTCTGTATATTGTCCATGCCATGGATGCTCACGGCAATACTTTCCTTGCGTTGACGGTAGGCATTGTAGAGGAGATTGTTGTGCATACACAAGGTGATGGGCGGTGGGGAGCTTCGAGCAGCCAGAGAGTGAGCAATGAATGATCCGACATTTCCAATGCCGAGGATATGTACTCGCCCGGATAATGGAGGTCCATTTGAGCCCCGATTTGCTTCTTCCGCGTCTTGTGCCCATGTTGAGGCGAATCGTGCCGTTGGTTCTCCGTAGACTTGGAGCCGCGATCCAAAACATGTTTCAAGGGTACTAGCTCGCCATAGCGAGCGGCATCGAAGGATGTGTTGCATCTCAAATCAGTTGGGGGGAAATCTCCCCAAGAACTGTGATGGAGCTCAAATGTTCAGAGGTCGGGATGAGGATTCGGCTGGAGGTAGTAGTTGAGCCCCAAGGCACTATAAGCAAGGCGAATAGATACGGAACCGGACAACCAACTGTCTGTTTAAAGGTAATTTAATATCCACGTACATTCGGCGATCTCAGATGCGCAAGTGGTCCCGAAATTCTCACCGCCCGTTCTACCGCCTACGTTGAGCCCGACCTATTTTTTTCCTGGTATCAAGTAATTTCTCATCAACACCACACTCTCCAGGGCTACCACCATGGACCCAACAAACCTGCTACCGCTGCTTGAGCAGCTGGACGACAATGTTGATGACTTGGAAGAAGTCCTGCAGCCACTTTTGGCCACTTCCTTGGCCAAAAGCTCAAACAAATTGCCAGTCATGGACAAGGCCAAACTTCACGTGTTGATCACCTACACGCTCGAGTCACTAATATTCTGTATGCCAAACTCAGTTGCTTTTAGGATTTCTGATACTAATGACTGGACCAGCTTATCTACGGCTTCATGGAGTTGATGCCAAGCAGCATCCTGTGTTCCGGGAATTGACTCGTGTCAGGCAATACTTTGCAAAGATCAAGGACCTGGAGACCGAGCCCGAACAGCGCTCTATGACACTCGACAAGGAAGCTGCTGGCAGATTCATTAAGCACGGCCTGGTGAGTACCAATCTGGTTCAGATGCCTATGATAGTTGCTAACACTCTACAGTCTGGTAATGATAAGTACGACTTGGAACGGGCAGAGAAGCAAGCCAAGGAAAGAGCCCAGGCCGAATTCAAGGCTGCTCAACTTGCCCGGAAGAACGCCGCAGCTGCGTCACAATCCAACGACCAAATCGACAAAGATGAATCCGAGGAAAAGACCGACGAAGCAGCAGCAAAGTATCAAAAGAAGATCCACAAGAAAAAGAAGGAAGACAAACTAATAAGCAAGGGCAAGATAGAACGCAAGGGCAGCAAGGCAGACCGATCTGAAGAGAAGAAGGAACGCAGACAGAAGAAGGAGGAGTTCCGGAAAGCTCGAAAGGCCCAATGAGTGTTTTCAGACCACCATGAATGGTCCATGTACTACGAGACGCGCGCATGTCTCCATGATTCTAGATACCCTTCCATAATGGAAACTGCATTATGCTTTAACATTATTCATGTAAAGTCTTCTTGCAGACCTGACCAGCTCATTCTCGGTCTCAACTATATCTCGCTCATTCCAGAATAGCATGACGTATAGAGAAGTGAATTGCATCTCGGAAAGACCTCGGGATCTCCGTATACTCCGGCAGCCGCAGGGATATCCCCCATGTCCGAATCCACGTGATATTTGTTCTTACGTAATCACATCCACCAATTAGCATCCACAGAATTTGCATCGGAGTTTGCCTCGCTCGCCGAACTTACTCATCTTCTAGCTTGTTCTTTCTCCACCAAACTTATACTTATACCACCTTCAGATCTCTACCTATCCCAACAATCCACACACATCTATCAAAATGCCTCGTCAACGCCGCGGTGCCGCTCCTACCCCTGCGCGTAGCGCTCCCTCTCGCCCTACCGCCGCTCCTGCTCGCCCGGCCGCTCCCACCCAGCAGCAGTCGCAGCCTCACTCGACCGCCGCCCACCCCCCTCAGGCCCAGCAGGCTCCTCCCATGCAGCAGCAGAGTGCCGGCCCCGGTCTCTTCGGCCAGATGGCCTCCACCGCTGCGTAAGTACCAATCCCGGCTTTGAGGCCTTTGTTCAGCCTAGTCCCGAGAAAATCCGGGGTTAGACTCATCGTTTTTCGGCAAATTGCTAACATGCATTTTCTGATATAGCGGTGTTGCTGTCGGTTCCTCCATCGGCCACGCCATCGGTGGCTTCTTCGGCGGCGGTTCCAGCGCCCCCGCTGAGGCCCAGCAGGCTCCCCCCGCTCAGTCCCAGGCCATGGACAGCGGTCTCTACCAGAGCAACGCCAGCCAGACATCATACGAGAACCCCGCCTGTGAAGTTGACGTCCGTAACTTCCGCAACTGCATGGATGAGAACCAGGGCAACCTCGGCATCTGCGGTTGGTACCTTGACCAGCTGGTATGTTTACACTTTGCCTCGGCTTTTTCCTTTTTATATTGTTTCGTATGCTAACTCCATGCAGAAAGCCTGCCAGGCTGCCGCCAAGCCTTACTAAGTGTTTTAGATCTCTCTTGACTCTTGGTGTGCTTGATTGGAAAGACAGATACAGTTCTATCTAGTAATATGTGATGGGAATATTCGGACTTGATCGTTCGTAGACCACCTATCTTTTGCATAGCGATCTTCACATCGCCTCTTTGTACTCTATACCATCTCTCCTCGATAAGGAAATAAACATTTGATTGTAACTTTCACAATCAAAAATTGAATGCATGACACCAAAACAACACACTCTTCTTTTCCCTTCCCTTGATAGTAGAACCCTAATACCATTTGTTGGAGCCTATGCTATACCAGGTAATATTGTATAAGATCCTAACAGCATGGACAAGCTTGTGTATTAAAGCGGCTCAATTTACAGCTCAAAGCTAACCCCAAGTATGTAAATGTCATCGTACAGTGCGCTACAGCTAACCCAATCCATCAACGCCATAGAAAATCATCAATACAAGAATTTTGAGAAACAGCCTATGTGCTGGTCCTCATTTATCCTTCCCATCTTGGTTATTCCGCGGCTCGAAGTTCAACTGAGAGAATGTTAGCAAATCTACACCAAAAGGATTGCGTTAGACATCACAAACCTGGTTCCCATTATAGAGCTGGCTATCACCACGCTCATTCTGCTGGTCTCGCAAAGTCCGAATGTTAGGCCCCGGATTCCTGGTACGCGGATTGCTACCAGGAGCTGGAGAGGAGGATGTAGAGGGGCCTGCGTCGTTGGCTGGTGCGGATGAGCCATATCCAAGGAACGAGCCTACAAGCCCCGTTGCAGTGCTGGCAGCAGAGGAGGCAAGATTGTAGACGGCGGAAATGCCACGGACTGGCAAACTACCAGCTGTCGAATAGGCCTCCGTGTATGTGGACACTGGGACCATGACTAGATTTGCCGTAGAACCAATACCTAAGTTCTGAAGAGTCTGAGACTCCTGTGTGACGGAGAGCGTTTCGTTGGGGAGGGGGTTTAGGATATGCTTGAGGTTGTAGGGTCGGTTGTCTCCTTCCATCTGTTGGTCAAGCCAGGGTCGCACATCGTTTCGAATGCTCTGGGTGGGTTTGAAGCTAGACCGCACGGAGCTCCCGTCAAAAAGGCGTACTTGTAGCCGGTATTGGGTTGGGGGTCCCCGAGGAATTGCGGGTTTCGGTTCCGAGGGCTCGCTGGGAGCTGCGCTCTTCTCGGCACCATTGTCGGTAGGCCTTTGAGATGCCGGTGCTTTGCCTTTATCTTTCTTATACTGGGGTTTGACTTGTTCCTTGATATCTTTTGCGGGCTGGCTGCTCTGGGAAGCAGAACTTGCGGGTGATGCATCTTTCTTAGGAAGCATAGTGGTCATCATTCGCTTCTTTATGGCAGCTTCACTGCCCTGTTTAGGTGCAGACCGTGCAGGACTAGCACTAGGTGGCACTTGAGCCTGGGGCTGGGGAGTCGCTGGCGTAGGTGAAGGACTAGCTGAACTTGCAGGAGCAGCATTGACCTGTGATTGCGGCGCATGGGTTGGCGCACTTTCATCTCCCAGAGCCACAAGCAATCTACTGCGGAAGTCCTCCTTCGAGACGTCTGGCCCAATATATTCCTTCAACGTGCCGTTCCTGGAGGCGGGTTAGTTCATGCCACAGGAGGGAAACAGTCCCGTATTGAGATAATAGGCACGCACTTAATGAGTACCACTGTTGGGAACTTCGAGACCGGACAAAAAGAGGCCAGGAATCCAGCTTCCTGTGAGCCTGCCGTCAAGCGCAACACAACGGCTTTAGCATTGAGTGCTTCCGCAACCTGTATAGGGGGTCAGAAACGTGAGGCCATGGTTGCAGCAGGCAAGCATACCTCCTCTTCAGTAAAGTAGCTATCCTCCCATGTAGAGCTCAACTCCGAGTCATCTGTATCCGCGTTTGAAGATCAGCGACATGTCACTCAATGCGGGGAGAAACCAACCGACCTCGTACAAAACAGGTAACCGCCTTAGCATCTCTAACTGCGAGAGCAATTCCCTCCTGAAGGGATCCTTGATAAAAAAGCGTCATGATCGCATCCCTGTACCGTTGTAGAAGTAACAGATGCGAAGAAGAGCTAGTGCGGAGAGTACAACTATAAGGTTGGGGAAGCCCACCGCCTAGAGACCTCCGATCCCGAAATCCCAACTGCCGCTCACCAGACTCGCCTTTTTTTGTTCTCGCTACTAACACCTCAATCGCTCTGCACATTCTCCCCTGAAGCCGTCAGTATGCGGCCGATTTTCTCCGTTATACGGAAATCCGCCACGGGGGCTTGGGCATCCCCGACTCGGACTGTGCGAAGCGCTCAACTACGCTCGAAGCTGGACTCTATCTGCGCCAAATGCCGTGGGCAGCAATTCCGTCAGATATCGCAATCGCGTCAGCTGGCTGAGAGTCTGAATATTGTGGATCACCCCGCCAAACTTGTTCGCGTCAATAAGAAGCATGGGCCTGGTCTGATCATTCTGGGTATGTTCAATGCTATCTGCTTCCTAGAACAAAGTCCGTACCCAAGAGATTCACTGCTAACAGATGCACTTAATCGTTTATAGCTCTTATTCCTATCATCTCATTTGGCCTGGGAGCGTGGCAGATACAGCGTCTGGACTGGAAAACCAAATTGATCGCCAAATTCGAGGACCGTCTCGTTAGACCACCTCTCCCGCTACCACCCCGAATTGACCCGGATGCGATCTCAGAGTTCGATTACCGCCGTGTCTACGCTACCGGTCATTTCCGACATGACAAGGAGATGCTGGTTGGACCCCGCATGCACGACGGCGAGGATGGATTTGTGGTTGTTACGCCACTCGAGCGAGAGGGACAGAGCACCGTGCTTGTGAACCGGGGCTGGATTTCTCGGAAATTGCAGAACCAGAAGGACAGACCTCAGGGACTACCACAAGGGGAGGTCACGGTTGAGGGCCTACTACGAGAGCCTTGGAAGAAGAACATGTTTACGCCAGATAACAAGCCGGAGGATGGAAAGTTCTACTTCCCTGATATTAATCAGATGGCGGAGTTGAGTGGCAGCCAGCCTGTTTGGATTGAGCAGACTATGGGTAAGATGCATGATTGATCATCTAAGTAATGCGTGACTGACGACTTCCCCCAGTGCCTGACCTGGTCGAATCGTATGATCGTGAAGCCAAGGGCATTCCCATTGGTCGCGCTGCAGAGGTCAACCTGAGAAATAACCACTCACAGTACATTTTCACATGGTATGTTGAGTCATTTTCTGAACGTGGTAATATGTTGCTCACGCTCTGCAGGTTCGGTCTGTCTTTCGCTACATCTGTCATGATGTGGATGCTCATTCGGAAGAAGCCCAACGAGGCAATGCGCCGAGTGCGCCAGAACCGAAACTGGTAATCGGCGTCTTGAATGTCGTCCTCATCTTTGCATAATTCATTGGTGTTTGGGGGCGTTTGTTTTATGGAGCTTTAGCTTTGGACATTCATGGTGGCATGGCCAATCTCATGTCTTGCTGAAGCTCTTTGGGGAGATGTTTCTGGGCGAGGGAAAACACGGTCGTTGAGCTGTTGATATGGCGTTGTCTGGGAAAGTCAGTAATTGGTCTGCGAAAAGTTCTTTACGGGCACTGACCTCCTCAATAATGCCGTGACATCACTCTCGTCAATGGTCTTCCGTCCTGCATGCTTCGAATAGGCGGCCAAGTCTTGGCTCGCTTGCTCAAAGTACCACGCGGATGCTTGCTCGATTGCGGCCAGTGCAGCCTTGTTGATTTTCGTCTTTGAGCCTCCCTTCGAGTGTGCAAAGCGAGTGGCCAGCTTTTTGACCACGCCTGCAGGCAAGTTTGGCACAGGAATTCCGTGTCGCGAAATCTTCTTTTCCTTGGTTTCGGTGGGAACATTTTCATCTCGCAATCCACCCCCGACAATTCCAGGGCTTTCGCTGGGAGACGCTGGGGGTGCAAGGTCAAGTCCGAAATCGAAACCACCACCGGCATCGTCATCATCTGATGGTGCTTCAACTGTCTCAAGTGGCTGAACGTCCGCAGCGGACAGCTGGAAGTCGTCAAAGTCGTTCACGTTGTCGTCAATCGGATCCTCGAGCGGAGCGGCAGCAGGAGATGGAAAGTTGAGATCAAAGTGGAATCGGCCCAGGTCTTCCGTCTCTCCCCTATTTGTGATATTAGCATCTGTAACATAGATAATCCAACTCGTGTATACCCACCCTCTATCAAAATCGGCCCCGCTCATCATTGTATCCTCTCCACCTTCCTCGCCAATGACGCCGGTTTCGTCTGCATCATCGCTGTCATATCTCGTCTCCCCGAAATCCTCACTAATTCTGCCAGTAGCTCGGCTCATCATCGATAAACGATCCCGATCTCTAATACTCGTGTCCCGAGGATACTCGACAGATCGATATGTAATATCCATATCCTCTTCTCCGAGGGCAAGAGACATCCGAGGTGGGCGCATTTCAGGACTTGCGTCTTCGTCTTCTTCCTCACTCTCCTGGATAGGCAGCGATAACCTCGGCCGCTCCATCTCCGGTTCGTTGTCTAGCTCTTCAAATTCATCCTTCGGCTCTTCAACGGGCTCCGGCTTCTCCTGAGGCGAGGACTTGATAACTTTGGAAGTAGAAGCGAGCGCTGATGCCGACATACTAAATCAGCAACCTTCCTCGCACATCCAGTGACATTGAGGTTCTTTCTTACCTCTTCCTAAGTTCCGGAGAATATCAAAAGTAGTCTCTCGCTGCATTCGGCCACTTCGTCGTCGATCCCGACCAGGTGTATTAGCGGCGCGCTGTTGCCTGGCATGAAGTCCGTATGGTGTTGCGGGTGCGCCCACGCCCCGAGCACGCGGTGTGAACCGAGAGGCTGATCGTTGGGCGGATGGAGTGGCTGCGGTGATGAGTCGACTTGGTGTCAGCGGGTAGCGCGTGTGACTGGGTAAGCGCTGAAGCTGTATCGATAATATCAGTGATGCTCTGCGCCCTTAACATCAAATTGCACAACTCACTCCTGTCAGTGTTGTATCTCCTGATGGCGTACTTATCCCGGGTGAGATGCGCCGACGCGCGTTTGGGGTAGCGGTAGTAGCCATTCTGTCTGATTTCTCTCAGTAGTGTACAGCTACTTCATGCAAGGTTTATCAGACTGCATATAGTATCATCAGGGTGGCAACAGCACAAGTGAACACCAAGCAATGAATACAAGACTGAGGTTTGTCGCGTCAACAACAATTGCGGGCCAAGGCCTGGGCGGTGGGTCCTTATCGATAAGACTGGCTGAATCAGCCGGCTTTTTTTTCGCATCGAATTGAGCTTCGGCTTTCCCAATTGAACATTGAGATTATTTGCATTCTGTCTTGAATACTCTGTGAATATCGCAAAAATGCCCGACGCAGTTGCCTCCACTGGGCTCTCTGACAAGCTCCAAAACAAGCGCAAGAGACAAGCCGACGATTCTTCCAAGCAAGAACAGCCCGAGGGCGCTGCTACCAACGCCGAGGGCTCAAACAAGAAGAAGCAGAAGAAGAACAAGAAGAACAAGAAGAAGCCTGATCAAGATGGAGAGCAATCAAAGAAGCAGGAAGACAAAGAGGGCATTGACGATTCGATTGGCAAGATGGATGGCCGTTTGCTAGGCGACCACTTTGCGCAAAAGGCCAAGAGACTCGACAAGCAGCTGTCTGCTGTTGAGCTCAGTGATCTCTCTGTTCCTGGTACGTATACATATTGTCTTTCTATATGGCAGTGGCCAAGGGTTCTCTAGACTAGAAATCTAACCTGCTACAGATTCCGCCTTCCTCGATACCTCTTCCTTTACCGCCGCCAGAGATCTGGACCAACTCCCCGACTTCCTCAAGGCATTCAGTCCCAAGGGTACTGATCTGTCAAAATCTTCCGAGCAGAACGGCACGCCACATACACTGGTTATCTCGGGTGCTGCTCTGCGGGCAGCTAATGTTGTCCGGTAAGTGGACAGACAGTCTTTGAATTATTAATGAAAATAATACTAACAATATATCCCCAGCGCCCTCCGCTCTTTCCAAACCAAGGAGAGCATTGTAGGAAAGCTATTCGCAAAGCACATCAAGCTCGAAGAAGCGAAACAGTTCTTGCAGCGTGCCCGTAGCGGTATCTGTGCTGGAACACCCACCAGGATAGCCGATTTGATCGAGTCTGGTTAGTTTTCTCATTTGCTATGAGCAATCGTTCTGGTCTGTCATACATATACTAATTGTTAATGTTTAGGAACTCTCAAGTTGGATGAACTGGAGCGCATTGTCATTGACGGATCACACATTGATCAGAAGCAACGGGGTATCTTCGACATGAAAGAGACGCATATGCCACTGCTGAAGCTGCTTACTCGACCGGAAGTGAGCAAGCGCTATGGGGCGTCCAAGAAAGGCGTTAAGATCTTGGTGTTCTAATGTAGCAGACGGCTAATGATGATTGATTCTGCTTTTCTGGTCTTTTGATACCTAAGAAGCTTAAATATATGCATTATACTGTCTCCCAACATGTTTCGTAGAAACTAACGTTAAATGCGATCTATAAAAGTTGATGTCCTTATCGGGAAAGGTTGACCTTCACCGCCTCCCAGGTACGCGGCAAAAATTTAATTTCACTTTTCTCTCCGCCCGATTTTTTTGGAGCTTGAGTCTCGCTGCACTGCAAAGTTTCTCCACCTCTTTGTTTGCTTTTTCGAAGATCAGCCGGTTCAGATTTACTCGAACCTACATTTTATCCCACCATCGAAGCATTTAATCACAAGTCTTCCGACACAACAGACACAATGGGTGACAAGCGCAAGCTCGTTCAAGATGAGGTCGTTGAGCCCGAGGGCAAGAAGATGAAGAAGGACAAAAAAGAGAAGAAAGAAAAGAAGGAGAAGCGCAAGTCGCGCGATGTGTCCGAGGACGTTGCTGTCGAGACCCCAGCACAAGATGAAGTGAAGAGTGATAAGAAGGAGAAGAAGGAGAAGAAGCAGGAGAAGGACCGCAAGGAAAAGAAGGAACGCAAGGAGAAGAAGAAGGGCAAGACCAGTGCCGATGAGCCTCCTGCTGCTTCCGAGGACGCCATGGATGTGGATGAGACTCCCGCCGAGAAGAAGGAAGAGAAGAAGGAAAAGAAGGAAAAGAAGGAGAAGAAGGACAAGAAGGAGAAGAAGGAGAAGAAAGAGAAGAAGCAGAAGTCCGAGGAGCAGCCCGCAGAGGAGCCCGCAGCTGAAGCTCAGGCTGAAGAGGAAGCCGAGGAGGCTCAACAATCCGGAAAGGCCGCTCGCTTCATCTGCTTCGTCGGTGCGTTACACCAGGTTAATCATCCAGCACCAACGTTAGCTCTAACCAAATGACATGCAGGCAACCTCCCCTACTCCGCCAACCACGAGTCATTGACCAAGCACTTCGAAAAGAACCCACCAGCCACAGTCCGTGTTGCAACAAGAAAAGAAGACCCCAAGAAGTGCCGCGGCTTCGCCTTCATCGAGTTCGACAACTACGACCGCATGAAGACCTGCCTCAAGCTGTACCATCACTCCAACTTCGACGACGGAAAGTACCCGCCTCGCCGGATCAACGTCGAACTGACGTGAGTAACCCTAAATCACATTCAAACATGACCATGACCATGCGCATACACTAATGCACAACCACAGTGCCGGCGGCGGTGGCGCCAACTCCGAACACCGCAAAGCCAAGATCCAGGCCAAGAACGAGAAGCTGAACGACGAGCGCTCGCGCCAGGCTAAGGAGATCAAGAAGGACAAGAAGAAGTACGAGAAAAAGCCTGCTGCTGATACCTCCGGTGCCAATGCCGTTGAGGTTCCTGCTGAAGATGATAAGTGGGCTGGCGTGCACCCTAGCCGGAGAGGTCGTCTCTAAGCGTGTCTCTTTCTTGGGAGGTATGTAATACCCAACTAAGACTGCTTTTGGGTACTTGAATTTCTCGTTGGAAGATCGCTGTACAGTGAAGTGTCTGGAGAAGGCTGGATGTTTTGAACGCCTTGGTATGCATTTTGTATTTTGTTCCATCCGCTTTTCTTTTCTTTTGTTCACAAAAGTACCATTACGTCTCTTTGTTATTTGGATACAAGATACCAATCTCATTGCTTATATTTTTGGGTTTGCGGCAATATCAATACGAGTGAGTATCTTTGTAACGTTACAATAAGCTTCAACTATGCGCCTTTCGAACCGTCTAGCCCATTCCTCCATGACATACTACCTACCAACTATAGTAGAATTTGGGAAAACACGCATAGATTTAAATAAACTATAAACATTGTCAAAGAGCGAAAGATATAGAGCAACAGGATAATTCCCAAAGAAGATAAACGGTTAATGGATTTCATCAAAACAGAGGCCGAAACAGCCTCCAATTACCCAGACGCCGTATTAACTATATATTATTCATTATAGCATACGAAGAAAATGGGAGAGACGAGTCAAGCCAAACGCTCTACAAGATCATGCATTTGTTGACTCCCTTCCTCCCGGATTTCGTAGCAGGACGGGGGTTGAGAACGGCCCTGGAAAGATGATAGAGTTAGGAACGGGTTCATCGTGTGTTTTCTGGTTTGTAGAAGGACTGGCATACCGGATGGCTTCGTCGAACACGCTCTTCAGGTTGCGTTGTGTCAGCGCCGAACACTCGAGGTACTTATGTGCGCGAATCTCCTTGGCCACAGCCAGGGCTTGTTCGTACGAGACGGTCTCCATCTTGCGTGCTCGGAGGGCTTCGACGGTGTTGCGGTCGTCTCTCAGGTCGAGCTTGGTGCCGACGAGGATGATGGGGACATTGGGGGCGTGGTGTTCGATCTCGGGGAACCACTAATTGTTTGGTAGAGTGAGTTACATGTCCAAATTAGGGGAAATATAAACAGAACTCGGGGGTGTGGGTGCGGATGTGGGTGCATGTGCAGAGGATCCCCATGGATGTGTAGATTCTAGGGCCAGATCCGTACCTTGGCTTTGACGTTATCGAATGATGGAGGGCTGACGATGGAGAAACAAATGAGGAAGACGTCGGTTTGCGGGTAGGATAGCGGTCTGAGGCGATCATAGTCTTCTTGTCCGGCGGTATCCCACAGTCCCAGGCTGATTGGCCTGCCGTCCACCATTACACTAGCCGTGTAGTTGTCGAAGCTGTCCTGGCATCAATGTCCGGTTCGATAGAGCGTTGAGGATGAGGGGTAGGTGGGCACGTACACAGTAGGGATGTACTCTCCCGGGAAGGCATTCGTCGTATAGGAGATGAGAAGACATGTCTAAGACCGGTCAGAGTCATTGTCGATTGGACAGAGGGTGTAGACTTACTTTGCCAACTGCTCCGTCACCAGTCACCACGCACTGGATCTCAATTAGCGCATCCCTAGGAGTGGGCGCGATCTACCCACCTTCAATGATTGAGTTGCCGGACCCGTCGCCATGTGCGCGAGTTTAGAAGAACAAATTCCAGCGATAAGGGTAGGACACGGGGTATCTGGGTTGTTATTAGCCTCAGGGGAACAGCTGAAGCTAGGAGGTCGGAGCTCGGGAAAAGAGGGGGGGAGTGTGGAGACCACGTAAGAAATAAGATATGAAGGGAGTTAAGAGATACTCACCTAAGGAAATCAAAGGCTTGGAAAGAAGTTGAGAAAAGAGAGAAAGAGGAGAAAATAGGGAAAGGCGATCGGATCACTAGCCCCCTCTAAAGAGATCCCCCACTGTGTCGAATTCGCTATATTTAATTGTGATAGGATCGAATTCTGGAATATCAACCCAATAGAGTCCGAACAAAGGCGCCTAAATCGTCTTATGCATGTCTCTATTTATATCCCGTTCTGTCAGCTGATATAGGCTATTGGAACCTATGGTGAGAAGTTTTGGATCTACAGTCGCGACACTCCCCTCCAACCACCTAAGAATCCACCCGCCTTCAGCTCCGTCGGTTTCGCCAACAAAGCGGGCAATTTGCCCGCGAATTCCCGGAAATAGGGTGCCTTCATGTGGGCCTGCACTGCCGCTTGGTGTTTATACCTAGAACGGATCAGGACTGGGTGGCAAGAAAATACTTGTATAATGTAGAAAAATGTAGAAAAATGCCGAGGCACGGTCACCCTCAGGGGAGGGTGCTATAGGGTCCACGGAAGGATCGGCTTACCTCTCAACCACCACGATCTCGTTGGTCTTCTCGATATGGAATGCGTAGTAGAGCAGGGTATCTGGTTCGTGTTCTTGAACCTGTTTGGTGACTGCGGATACGAGTGCTGCCACCTGTGATATACCTTGTGTGAGATGTTTGGCCCGCCAAGATATAGAGAGAGACGGGCTGAGCTGACCTCTGCGAAATTCTCTGGCTTTGGCGTGATCACTGCGGTGACGTTGATTTCGGACATTGTGGAATATGAACGGGAATCCGGAGTATGAATATGAAGACTGTTCAAGTGTTAGTCAATGGATATGGGAGATAATAAAGCCATGAGGACAGCCAACCGTTGTAGTATATGGAGGTATAACAAAATGGGTTAGATATCAAACCGCTGTTGTAGGGCAGGGCTTAAATATGTACAGTAGGTACAATGCGGATCATATAATCCACATTGACCTCGGGCCATGGCAAGTGGGTCTAGACGTGCAGATGTGCCACATTTGATCATATTATACACTGGAGGTAGTTCCGGAACTTCTCTCACCAGGAGCAATATCTATTTTATCAACTTATCGCACATGTAGCAGTGTTCCTCTTCTGCTTTCCGTTTGCCGTGATCTCATCCTGCTCAACCTTCGTCCCGATATTGTTCTATAAAACCATCCTAGAGCATGCGCATTTCTACCATGATGGCGCTGTAGGTAAAGCCAGCCATCCTCTTATTGATTACCTCATTGGGAAACCAAATGATCTGCAGTATATATCTTTCCCTGTTGAGGCAGCGGTGGCTGAGGTCCAAGGTTGTTACTCATCTAGATCCTAATGATATGATGAATGGAAGTCATAAAGAGAAGAGGGAAACAAACAGTGGGGATATCATTGAGCTAGAAATGGGGTTTGGGATCTGCTGGGTATTTCTACCCGGCAGGGCCTCTTCCCGGTATATATCCCGCTGTTGTGATAGCTTCCTGGCATCCTGCGGGTTCGGCAACTGTTCTAGATAGTGAGGAGCTTCCCAAAACACCTCTCAAAGGGCCTGCATAGCACCCTCGTATGGAAACCCCCGAGGCCATAGGGGAATTCATTCCCCCCTTTCGTTCGATCAACGTGTTCATCAACGGCATAAGGGGCTTCATTCGTGAGCTATCGTGTCTGCCAGAACGCGACGGTTCTGGCTAACTTACCAGTACGCACTCACTGCGACGCTCCGGAGAAGTACCGACATTTCTTTGACCGTGAGCCACCGAGGGAGACGCATTTCGGAGGATCTTCTTCCGTCTTGGATACATCTCTTCCATAACCTAAAGCAGCGTACGCAGACCTTTGGTATGTGTGGATCACCCATAGAACTAGATGCCGAGACACTGGGCGATGGGGTATTTCGGATTGGGCCGTCCCTCCAGTCCGGCTCAGACCAACCTCCAAGCCTTTCACCATCTATTGGGGTGTTGCGCTCGGGGCCCAGTCGCCGAAGTGTCACTCGTCATAGTTCCACTGGCCATAGTTTTACTCGCCATTTTGTCCATAACTTTGGCGAGGGCGTCCACACACTTTGCCAATTCAAGACAAGCCCCGGATACCGCCCGTGCCGCCTGCATAAAGTCCTTAATGTTTGATTCACTCATGTCCCTTTGTGGGGGATTGTTGACACTGGGTTGGAAGTGACCACGGGTTGAGTTCATTATATCGCTTCGCAGGAAATGGCTGTCACGGCCGAATTGGAAGGCTTCACGGTTTGGATCCATTATACCGTTCCGTGGGAGATTGTTGACGGAAGGTGGAGCCCCAAATTTATAGAAATTATAGATGGCCTTAGGCAGCAGCTGAATCAGCTATCGCCGAGATTCGCGTCACCAGATAAACCAATCACCATCGTCCCTTAGCACATAACAACCCCACTTCCCCCTTCAGCTGCCCCGATTTCTCCGATTTCCGGACTCACGACCTCTCACATTTGGCGGCTTTATACTGGACTGCAGGCTCCTCATGGACTTGGGGTATCGGAACATTCTGGCACCGGGGCCAAACTACCCTCCCGACTTTCGGTCCACCTTACCCCGGCCTCTGCAGAGAAGTTCAGAATCTTGCGAGATGGAGAAGACCCCGCCTGTCACGGGCAAACGCCGAGGTGGTAGCCGGAAAGCCTGTAATGAATGTAAGCAGCAAAAGGTGAGCCACATGCATTGCCCCAATTACTACTCAATGCTTTCCCCAGTTTCTGGCTGTTTCAGTTCCACCCCGCTGATGCCTGATAGTTGCGATGTGATATTGTTCAAACCCCGGCTGCGTCTTGCTCGCGCTGTCGCAGGCTGGGGATAGAATGCAAAATCGAACAGTCTTTCAAGCGAATTTCCAAGAGAAGGTATTTATATACATTGTTTTCCATTCTGTGTTTTTGTATCTCTTATTGATTCGATCTACAGGCACAATGCTGAAATGGAAAAGGAGATTGCAGATCTCCGACGCCGTCTTGGAAACGGTTCAGATCTTGAACAGACAGCAGAGCAAGAACTTCATGAGTCCCATGGAGGTGATGACTTGTCTCGGTGCTCAGAGGACGTCTTTGCCCGCCGGGACTCTGCTGCAGTTGACCGCTCACGACCCGTCTCAGTTCCAATTGAAACACATCCATCCGTAGCCACTCCGTTGACTATGAAGAGAGATGGTTCCATCATATCGCAAGATGAGGGCCATTGGAGGCTGGAGGATATCTCTATTTCCAAAGCTCGAATTGCTCGACTTTACGATCAGTATGGATTGGTTTCTCATTAGACCCGTATTGCAGCTAACATGAACCCAGGTACTTCACATATTACCACCCATTTCTCCCTCTACTAAACCCCCCAAAGCCACCAGAGGTGTATTTGCATCGTTGCCCTCTTTTAGCATGGACTATCATCTGTGTTGCAAGTAGGCGGTCTCCTTATGAGCCTGGTCTTCTAAGTGCACTGTCAGGGCCATTCAGCAGGCTGCTTTGGTCAACAATCACCAGCGTGCCGCAGGACTATCGAGTGGTCAAGGCGCTTTGCGTTCTATGTACTTGGCCTCTTCCAACGACAAGTCAGCGCACTGATGCGACCTTCATGCTCAGTGGCTTGATGATGCAAATTGCCATGCAACTTGGTCTGCACCGTCCAGTACAAGCTGAAGAGTTTACAACTTTCCGCATGGAAGTCCAAGGCGAAGCGCTGAAGGATCGATTACATACATGGGTCATTTGTAACATCGTGGCTCAAAAGTGAGTATATTCATTAATATCTGGTCAACCAAAGACTGACTTGAAACAGTGTTGCAACTGGTTATGGACAACCAGCAAGCACAATATACGACTGGGCTCTTGAGCCTGCATCTTTAAGGGATGCCGATTACCGTCTTCCCCATGACTTGGCTATCCGCCTTCGGATTGAGAAATTCTGTGATAGGGTGACCAAGGCTCTGTATAGTAGCAAACCAGAACCCGCAGAGTTCGTAAGCGTCGACAAGCTGGTGGTCGTGCAGATCCTTGAGAGTGAACTCAGAGAGATGGAAGTTGAATTTGGCAGGGACATCTCAGGTATGCGTGGAATCCCGATGCATCTAATGATTGGCTGATTCTAACATTTTTAAGCAATTAACCTCATCCACCTTCGTGCCGCTGAACTGCACTTCCGGTACTTCATGTTCTTGGGATCCAACGCCCGAGTCGACGACTTGACCAAACTATACCTTGCAACAACTTCCTTCCTCGGCCGTGTCCTCGATCTGGAAACATCGCCAGGCGATTTAATTGGCCACTCTACCAATTATATCCTTCAAATGATTGTATCGGCCGCGTTTGCGCTTATGAAGTTGCTGAAGAGTAGCTTCAGCCGACACATCGACTTCAACCATGGCAAGCTTTTGTTCAATGGCGCAATCTCAGCTATTCGCCGAATCAGCGTTATGGATCATGACCGTCCTATCCGTCTTGCGGATATTCTCGCTCAGATGTGGAATGCTACTAGCTTAGAGCCTGCTGAAGAGGATGCTTTACAGCTCAAGGTTCGCTGCCGCATGAGTATGAGCCATGTCTATGATACGGTCTGGCGTTGGCGACAGAGGTTCCGGCCTGTTAAAAGCTTTGAGGAGATGCAGGGTAAGATTTTTGCATTTTACCAAATTTTTCTATTTTGTTCTAACTTTTCTTTCAGCGGCTGCCATAGCGGCAAATCAAGATATCTCTACCACGACGAGACCCCTGACAAGGCAACAAGACAGCTCCCTCGAGGATTCATCTTTGATAATGCCTGCTCAGTTTGACGAAGGCGGCGCATTCTTCAGCGAAGCAGGGTTCTCAGAGGTGTTTGATTCCCTCAATTGGGTCTTTGATGGCATCCCCGACTCTTTTGTCGCACCACCAGTGCTATAGATCGATGTGCCGTTTTGCTTCGTACCATTGGCCAATGGTCTGTATAATTGTAATTTGATTCCTAGCGACGATACCAAACAAAAGTGATTTTATTTATATCTTGGTGGCTGTGCATTTAAAAACGGAGAATAACGTAGTCAAGCCCAACGAGGTAAAGATCGAATCCACTTAAGGTGTGGCTGACCCAGCATTACGTCTACTAGCAATCATTCTTGGGTAGAACCCGTTCGCGCCACTGCATGTTTCAGCCCAAGGTGAAACGCGCAGGCTCCAACATTCTTGTACCTGACCTCATCGCCCCTAACCCACCGCCAAGCATTTCAAGTTCCGGTGTCATTGCGGCCCGTGTTACTTCCCATCTCCCCTCCTGACACTACCCATACCACTTGAGACACCAGCTCCCATGTCGGATACAGCTCTACACGAACCCGCGCTACCTCAGCTCTCCGATGCGCCTCCCTCCAGTGCCGGTCGCTCGTCTCCCAGCCACCCCGGAGCCGAGCAGCCCCACGAGGAGGCCATCTCCGACGAGCTTAAAGCCCGCCTGGATAAAGTCATCTACTCCGATGTGAGCAGTCGCAAAAAGCCTCTTGAGGAATATCAATAAAATGAAGCAATTAGACTAACCGCGCTCGTGTCGCATGCAGATCGGCATCACCACTCTCCTAACTCGGCTCAAGCAAAGCGTAGCCTCCGCCAGGGTTCGTGGAACGCCAACAACCCCCAGAGAACCGATCGCAATTACTGACTATATACGCCGCAGGATTTCTCGACATTCCTGAAAAAGCGCGGATCGCTCGAGGAGGAGCACGCTCAGGGGCTTAGGAAGCTCTCCCGAGTGATCAACGATGCGGCGAACCGTACCGAGAACCGACAAGGAACATACAGCTCCAGCTATAAGGATATCCACCGACTGCAAGAGCGGATGGTCGACCATGGCCTCCAATTCGCCGTCTCCCTTCAACAGATGGCCGACGACCTGCACGAGCAAGCGGGTAACATCGAGCGCGGCCGCAAGCAATGGAAGCAGACTGGTTTAGCTGCGGAGAAGCGAGTCGTCGATGCGGAGTCTTTGGCTGAGAAGGCAAAGGCTAAATATGAGACTTTGGCTGAGCAGTACGACCGTGTTCGCACCGGTGATAAGCAGGGTGGCAAGTTTGGTCTGAAGGGCCATAAGTCTGCTGCACAGCATGAGGAGGAGTTGTTGCGCAAGGTTCAGAATGCCGATAGTGACTATGCGGCTAAGGTTCAAGCTGCTCAGGCTGCGCGCCAGGAGCTCGTTTCTACGCACCGACCTCAGGCTGTTGAGAACCTTCAGAAACTGATTAGAGAGTGTGATTCTGGCTTGACTTTGCAGCAGCAAAAGTTCGGTATGTTTTACTTATTTAGAGATTGGTTATGCAAATACTTATGGTTTGCAGCTTCTTTCAGTGAGAAATTGCTTCTCGGCCAGGGTCTCTGTGTCAGCCCTCTCAAGACTGATGGCAACACTGGGTCATTTGGTCCCAAGAGTCTTGCCGAAGTTGTGCGTCAGGTTGACAACCAGAAGGATCTCCATGAGTTTATCCTGAGCCACGAGGGCAACCCCGGGGCTGTGGCTTCTGAAGCGGTCAAATATGAGCGCCACCCCGTGAGTCTTCTAGACGCCCCCCAATTGCTTTCTTTATTAACGCAGTCAAAGACCCTTGGTGGAGGCGGTGCTGCCGCACCCCCTGCTCCCGCGGCGCCTTCGCAACCAAGCTCCCAGAACAAGGGCATGTCGACATTGCCGCCGGCGTTTTCCTCCCAGGCTAATCTGTCTTCACCCGCGCCCCAGCAACCACAGAGCGCTGATAGATTGCCTCAACAACCGCCCTATCCATCCCAACCAGATACCTTCTCCCCGCCCCCAGCAGGCCAGCAGCCGCCTTACCCAGTCTCAGGACCTCCTGAGCCTGCCCCCAAGGTCCAGGCGCCAATGGCAGGCCCTCCCCCAATGGAAAAGGGCTTCCAGTCGAATCTCCCTCCCTTGAAGCCAGTGTTTGGCGTTTCACTAAATGACCTGTACGCCCGGGATGGAACTGCCGTTCCGTTCCTTGTGTACCAGTGTTTCCAGGCCGTAGAGCTGTTCGGTCTGGATATGGAGGGTATCTATCGACTTTCTGGGAGTGCCAACCACATTAGCCACATGAAGGCTGTGTTCGATAATGGTGAGTTTGAAACAAGACCTTTGAGGCATGGCCAATATCTAACCTCAACCAGATTCCTCGCAAGTCGACTTTACCAACCCGGAGAACTTCTACCACGATGTCAACAGTGTTGCAGGACTCGCGAAGCAATTTTTCCGGGACCTTCCTGATCCTCTGTTTACTTCCCAGTATTACTCTCAGTTTGTTGACGCAGCTCGTAAGTGACATGCCATCAAGTCGTATAGAAACAAAAAACTTACCATGGAATAACAGGTATCGACGATGATATCCAACGCCGAGACTCGCTGCACGCCCTTATCAACAGCTTGCCTGATGCTCACTATGCCACTCTTAGGGCTATCATACTGGTATGGCACATCCAACTCAATATAGATACGATTACTCAGAGATACTAAATCCGCTGCAGCATCTGAACAAGATTCAAGAACACTACACCCAGAACCGGATGAACGCGGGCAATCTGGCTATTTGTTTCGGGTATGTTTCCACATCGCAACGCAACCTTCGCGACCAATTCATATACTGACTTCTCTTAGACCAACCCTCATGGGCGCCAACTCCGGCGGCAACATCGCCGACGCAGGGTGGCAAGTGCGAGTCATCGAAACGATCCTGAATAACACATTCCAGATCTTCGATGATGATTAGACGTATCGCCCCATCCGCCTGTTTCATATCATAGTCCAGAGCCCAGTGGTCACTCTATATTATGCGGTACACGAACGTCAGTCCACGGGCTCACGTCCTTATGTCCTTTCTTTGTTGCATCGATTTCCGGTGCCTCTAATGTCCCTCCAAAGTACATCCATCCTCCTTATGCTCTTTGCGTGTCATGTCGTCTTCTTATCCACACATCTCCATCTGCCGTGCGCATTCTATTCCTGTGTTTCAGTGATACCTTGCTATGCTACACATTAATACTGTGCTCATTGAACCTTCCTTGTACATATACATATTGTCCTTTTTCTCTTGCCTTACCTTATCTTGGTATTGGTATTGGTCTTGGTTTCATCCACCTCTACTCGATATTGTCAGTAACCAAGTCATCCAAATCCATGGCGCCGATGGTTTTGCGTAAAACGATATATCGTTGTATCCACTTGGTTTACTATCTTATATTTCTGTTCAAGATTGCGACGAAGATTACTGTAGTCTCTTCGTTGATTCGGAGTTAAGAGTCATGATTATGGTTATAGTTATAGCGGACAGAATTCTCGAAACAAGACATCAATATCATCTATAAGAAGTGAAGGCTTTGGTAAAAACATACGAAGTTCAATCCAAATAATAAACAGTGTGGCTATGGTACATGAGTGTAAATGCTTTCTATATAGTTTCCTTCGTGTGCCAAGGAGAGAAGACAGATACAGAACGGGCTTCTGTATCCAAGTTGTTGTGATGTTGTTAGGGTAGGGACGTGTAGTTGGTACAAACGTTAACACAAGCGATGAATGGAAGATGAAGTGCTGAAGTGCCAAACTTGAGCAGTAGCGATCCAGGTCCAAAATGAAGGCCAGAGATCAGACGATCCAAAAAGTATACAACTCGGGTTCGAGTCCCTGATTATAGATCCTGCAGGTATCCGCGTGTTCCCAGATCGGCGAGTTAGGGCATGCAATATCTGAAAAACAAGTCTAGGAGTCACGATTCAGACAAATCTCTCCGAACTTATTTCTTAGGTCCTGAGGACCCGTTCATCATGGCTTCCTTGATCTGCTCCATGCGCTCCATGGCCGACAAGCCCGGCGCGAAGTAGGGATCTTCCATAATCTGTTGCATGGTAGTCGGGGTAACATGGCCCCAAAGCATCCAACCATTATCTTTGCCGTTCCAGCGCAGGTTCTGGACAACGATATACTCAACGCAGTCCTGTTCCTTGGTGGAGACAAGAGTTTCCACGGGTTGGGCTCCTCTCTTGGGTTGTTCTACCTTGCTGGTGGCCATAGACTGGCGACTTGTGACGCGCACGACGATTTGGCGGATGCCGGAGTTGGCGAGTTCGGGGATGGATGTTGCACGGTCTGACATGACGCGGAGGCCGAGGAAGTTGGTGCTGGGCTTGCGCAGGTACTTGACCAGTGTCCATTCCAATTTCTCGGATGCGTCTCGGGCTTCGATTTGGCGGACTAGGCGTGTGGAGAGCCTCTCACAGCAGAATCGGCGGATCTCGGGAATGTTGCCTCTGAAAGTTTGGATGTTGGTTTTGGGTTCGAGGAATGGGATTCGGTGGGATGGGACAATGTATGCTTACTGGGCAAATGAAGTGTACATCTTTTCCATTAGCTGGGAGGCGATATGACGACGCTGCTTGAAGTTGAATGGGAAACTGTTCTCCCGCTTGCAATATTGCAGCAAACTGTATTATAGTTAAAAAAATATATTCTTTGCCAATGTATATGATGCATGCAGCGTTTGTTCAATGCGACAGCCACAAGGTAGACAAAGCATGCTGTTATAATTGTAATGTCGAGGAAAGACTGACCTGCCGTAGTTGGTGAACAGGGTCTTGAGCCATGTCCACTCCATGTGCAATCTGTCGCGCGGATGTTCAAAGATGGAAGGCCGATCCCTCCACAATGGCTTAACGAAAGTTCCGGGTAATATACCAATGTCATTTGGCAATTGATTCATCAGCATGTCCTTGGTGCGAGTCTTGAACGAGGGCTGAGACTGGGAGGGCTGGCGGAAGTTCATGGGCCTGCCAGCCAAGTTTTGAGACGTCTGTGAGAAGGACCGACATTGGTATGAACCAGCCGTACAGGATTGGGCGATGAAGGACCCAGACGGCACAATGCGCGCGGAGGTGCCCGTAGGCAATCGTAGTGTGGACGCCATGGCGAGTGGTTGCGTTGCGAAAGGAAGTGGTTCCTGGATGTCTAGGAAGCACAAAATCCGCGGAATTAGCGGTCACGTGAATCACTCCGCAAAGTCCCTGTCCAACACTTTAGATGAAGCTCGACCCTTCACAAGGTCCTAAGACCATTTACACTCTCCACTCTACCCACCGGCTTACTCGGTGCCATTTACAAACTGCCCAGTATTCAGTCATTAAACTGCCCCCGGAGCAAAGACACCGCCCGCTATCGACTGGGTCCCATCTCTGCCCGATTAGGGGAGCCACAAACAACTTGAAAACACCTAGTCTTTTCAAGGCCGATCGCAACGGTCACATTTAATAACCCCTTCCAATCATTGCGTGGCGGCCGCATATGCCGCGATTCAGAATAAAGGCTGGCTCCTCCTCGACGTAATGCCTCTCCTCCGCCATACACTCCCCACGAACACCTATCTCGTGCCGACTTGAACCTCCGATCAGCTATTCCACCCAGCTATCTCAACCCTCCCACCCCATTGCCGCAAGGCCAATTGGCTAAAGAGGTGGCTTCCCCATCATCTTCCGCCGTCCCACCCTCCCCGACCTCCTCGACTTCCCGTACCCCACTCAGCAGCGATGCCGGCCAGACTGCTCCATCAGCACTCCACCCTCGGGTGGCTGTCATTCTGGGTGTCGACCGCAGGTGGTATATTCCCTTGTTGGTCTGTCGCGCGCTAAGCACGCTGCCCGCTGCTTGGTGGGGGCTGCGATGTGCGTTTACCTTCTTGGCTGAGCTTCTGCATATTCGGCCGGGGATGGGACGGGAGGGGTGGGCGGCGGCGATTGTTGGTAGTGTTGGACAGGAATGGGATGTTGAGAGGAGATTCCGTGTGACGGAGGTGGCTTTGGCTATTATGTGGGTATGTTATATCTCCCCGGCCTATGTCTATCTTGATTAATATTGATATGGGGCTCAATCTCGTATGCGTCTTGATACTGACAGACTCACCAGTGCTGCGCATCCGCATACCTTTCATATTTCTTCGCTGATTGCATGATGTCTCGATGGTTGGTCATTCGAAACCCTCCCTGTTATTCCTCATACTCATCCTTGAATCCAGGCTTCTAAACTACACACCGCCAGCCGTTGTGATCCGCCTGTTAACCACAAACGGCCTGATAGCATATATAACATCTTGGGTGCTCTACCTATCCGGCGCATCCTCGGACCCTCGACTACTCCTACCGGCCTGGATATCCATAACAACTGTACGTTACCGTATATCCACCTCCAACCCATACACATCCACATACTGATCATGTCGCAATACAGTCTTTAACATTCGTCTACCACGCAACCCAAAACCACGCCACAATAAAACGCGAAACAGCAGCTTCCCTGCTAGTCGTCTCAGTAGCAAGTTTCCTAAGCATGTCCTCACTCCTCATGCAGCTCCATCTAACGCGTGAAAATGAACCCGAAGTCCCTGTTTTCGTTATCACGCGCAAATTGTGGGATTGGGCCGTTGCTATCTTCCTGCGTATGCGTATTGCGGATGAGAGGGTTGTTGTCGGGGAGTTGTAGGTTTTCTGTGTTGTTCATTCGCTTTTGGGGTTGCTTTTTATCTTTGTTCTGTCTTTCTTCTTTCAGGATATCCAACAGAGTTGCTTTCAACATGACGATTCGAGTCGATCTACAGCGTTCGGTAGTGGTGGTTTTTGTACATTTTCGGGATTGGAGGGCTGTCTTCTTCCTCATACTTTTGTTTGGATTTTTGTTACGGTCTTTCTTTGTTGCGATTTTATACCCCTGGCCTAGGGATTTCTTTTCTAGATAGGTCAATTCTCTTGGAACTTTCATGCATCAAAGGATTTTATAGTTGGAAAGTGATAATCCCTAGGACTAACTCCTACTGAATTGATGGAGTCAGGGTAGGGCTTGGACATGTTCTTTAGCGTATGAATGATGGATAGATCTAATCAGTCCTTATGGTGGGTTAGTTCACAATACAAAGATCCCGAGTGGAATCCCATTTCGCGTTCTACGTTTACACCCAAGCCTGCCGTCTGGAGTATTGGATAAACAGTTGAAATTCCTTGTTTTCAAGCAAAAGCACTGAATTACAAAACAGATAGTTAAAAAAACACAGTACGAAGAAGGGAAGAAAGTTGAGACTGCATCGCATGCCCCAGTTCCACCTGGATCTCCCTGAGAAGCCAGGTTGACAAATTGACCAAGGCAATGAGCAACAAGTAACCCTCTCAAGTAGGAAACGAATGCGAACACAGTCATAAGGAAAAAAAAGATAAAAGATTGTCTGGCTAAGCAGGTAATGGGTATCTACCAACGCGTCGTTCCGTCATAATCCCGTCCTAATGATAAGCGGTCGAGCCCCCGCTCTCCTGCCGACCATGCGGGTATCGGCGCACACAGGTGTAGCGGGTCATTTCGACAAGGCCCAGGTCTACGCCAGGCACAGAGTGGTGGGGGGAGAAAGCAAGACTCCTGATCGGTTTGAGGGCCAGTACAGAGATAGGCCAGCGGGATAGAGATGCATGGGCAAGCTTCCTATTCCACCGCTCACAGGGCGACAAACTGGGAAGAGGGGATCGGAACAAGGCATGTTGTTGGGATTAGAATCCGTGGACCTGAGAGTGCTGGGTTAGATGGTGATACTACCGAGCAGGAAGCGGGGCGACATACCTTGATGGTCTTGGCATCAAGCTCCAGGCCCTCCTTCTTGTCAGTCAAGAACTCCTGGACATCCTTTCGCTGGTCTCCTTGCAGTTGAATCACCTCGCCCATCTCGGTGTCAGCGACGATGGTGCCATTGCAAGCTGAGAAACAAGTTAGTGTGAGTCCGGACGAGAAAAAGCAATAAGGCCAAAAACATACCGAACTTCTTCTTGATGACCTTAAGAATCTTCTTCTGGTCGAACTTCTTAGGCAGACCCTGAACAGTGGTCAGAGTCTTACGACCATTGCGCTCTGTGAAACAAGACGGTTAGCATGGTACCCCTTTTAGCGCCGGCGAGCCGCGACGGCAGCGACCGACGGGAAGGACGGGAACAAGGACGTACGCTGAATCCGTATGTGGATATAGTTCTGAGACTGTTTGGTCTCGCCGGTATCTTCGTCGGCTTCGGCGAAGGGGTCTGTGACGGTGTAGGGTCAGCCTCAGTCCAGTACCAAATTATTACCCCGCCGCAGTAAGACTCGGTGAGACGAGGTGGGGGAGAGTTGGGATCCACATCTCACACTCAGCCCGGGAGCAGATGCATCTCCAGGTCGCGTCGAGAGTGTACAAAGGCGTGGGAATGTATGAAAATGGGCTGAAGCCCGACACGCGCTGCGAGGGGGAAAGTGGCGAACTTACCGAAGGTCTTGAGGTTTTCGATGGACATAAACTCGGCCTTTGCGTGGTAAACGGCTCTTGAAAGCGTTGTTGGTAGAGAGAACGAGAGGCGAGATTCAATATCTCTTTGAAAGACGAGGGGTGTGTGTGGAACGGAGAGAGGCTTGAGGCTGAAATGTTGGAAGAATCAGAGAGAAGAGCAGAGCCTTTTGAGGCAAGAGTCACGTTGTGGGGAAGGCGGTGAGGGGCAGGCGGTGTAGCCCAGGTACATCTACGACGAGGTGGCAATATGAGGTGTACTGATGTACTGAATACTTCTAAACTAAACTGGCAAACAATTATGCCCAGATGACTTTGATTGCGGCAATATTGAGGTCTGAGCGAAACTCATGGATATTGGTACAGCGTTACAATATGGTGGATCCCCCCAACCTTTATATCAAACCCAACACCTTTACCAATTGTAATATAGTGAAGATTGCAGGAAAGTATTATGTCTGTTGTAGAAAGGTATCGAATTCGCGTGTTTAGGCCGAAGGCAGGGGAGTCGGTATGGCGGCGGCACGGCCACCAGGAGCCTGGGGAGGCATGAAGAGCGGGAAGTAGGTCTGGAATAGGGTCAGAAAGATGCCAGTGGCCATGTAGATCGAATATCATGCTGTTCAGGGCACATACAACAACCAGGGCCATCACTATACCACGATATTAGTCGAATTTCAAGGCAAAGGGGGCAGGGGCACACATGGGAAACACGAACAGGACATGAGAACCGACATATAAGCCGGTGTAGCAGCATTCTTCTTCTGGTCTGGGGATTCACCGAGCCAGGTCTGGAGCGAAAAGACGAATGAAACCCTGTATTCGAATCAGATCGGGCCGATACCACTGCTTGTCTCACACTTACCATCCGATCATACTGTGTCCCGCGAGTTGTTAATAATGTTCTTCGTTCTTGACCTGTGATAAATGCGCGGCGCGTATCGCTTACCGGTTGCGAGTGAACATCTAGGAGGCGAAGTGTCAGCACAAACGTATCGCGACGAGCTGGGGAGGCACTTACAGCGGCCATGGGCATGGTGCTCGACATTGTGCCTGTCGCATAACATCAGTCCTGATCCTGGGGCTGGGTTATCTGGAGACGTGGCGTACTGGAGATATCGGCATCGCTGCTGCTCTTGGGAGGATCGACGTAGGGGATGGCTGGGGTTGTTAAATTGACTGCAATAACCGGAATCAAGTCCACTCACCGAGGTCAGCCCTCCGCATATCTTTCTTTGACGACATGGTTGGTGTTGGATGGTTGTAAGAAGGATCGAACTGACCCCGTACGCCAAGACCAGTCTGGGCCTCCCTCCGAAACCCCCGGATTGAATATCTCCGACACTTCTCTTTACGTTTACTTCTTACACCTTGCTTACATCTTATACCGAATATTACGGAGGGCCGGCAAAGCAGATCATTGCATTACCCACCGAGAACATGTCGTGACCGGGTCCAACTGGCTGTCGGTGTGATGCCTGTGCATTGGTCACTTTCAGCCCCCTTGCAGTCTGATTGCCAGAGCACCTTGCACGGCATCTGAAAGCATAACCAGGTCAAACATGCCTCGGAGACCAAAGGCCAGGTTGTGACAGCTCACCTCATGTCGATCGGTTATGTGCTCCGGAGGTGGGCCGACGCTCTACGGAATGTGGACGGTGGACAGTGGCTGGTGGACTTGATAAGCAGACTTGAAGCCTCGGGGATTATTTGGCCAAGACTGCTCTTTGACCTGTGTAACAACTTCATCAAGAGAAGAAAAAGGAAGTGTAATCCCGCGCGGCTAAGACTTGTAACGAAACAGGCAAATCGCCACGGACAAGGACATGGGAGGGGGGGCGCGGTCTTTGACGGGAGTTGGCGGACTTGGCTGGCATGATAGGACATCTCGGTAAAGACTCGGATATCAGGGGCAAATAGATGTGGCTCCATTCTTGGTAACACTGAAGTTGTAGTTAATCATATGATATGGAAATCATTCCGTCGATCCCTAACTGGACACTGAGCACTTCGGCTTCTTGGACTTGCTTGTTTCGACTGTTCCCCATATCCGCTCTATATCCGAGTCCCCGATCTTCAGCCCTTAACATTTTCCTTCACCTCCAACCTATCACGCCTTAATCTCGTCTAATCTCTGCACGTTCTGCACTTTGGTATCTCCGATCTGACCCACGATTCGTTTCCTCCCACATATCGCCCGAATGACCTGATTATTCGCCCATATCGCATCATGAGCCTAAGATGATCCCCCAATCTTCCGGCCAACCGTGGGGCCCTTCTCTACGAACGGTCAATGGCCCCGGACGGGTTGAGAATGCGATGTTAGGCCATGATCATCTCGACAGGCCTATGCCGCAGCCGCCGATCCGCCCAGCCGTCGTCGACCTGACCGCAGGCGGTCCAGAGTCGCAGGATCGAGAACCACCCCCCAAACGACCGAGATTGGATGTGCCAGGTGGATCAAATGCGACGGATACTGGTGCGACTATGAGCGCAGAGGCAAGGAGTGCTCCTGGAAGCGCAACTCCGCGACCTACGGTGTCGTGGCGCGGCCGGCCGCTCTGGTCCTTTCAAGCCGTGGTGTCGGAACTTCCGAACAACGAGAATCGAGGCGATGGCACCGGTTCGAAGCCTCCATCGCCGCCGCCGTTACCTGCTCAGCCATGGGAGATCCCCGCTGTCGAGCCCCCGGCAACCACCGTTGTGAAGTCGAGGGAAAGCTCACCCGTCGGCGCTGTACAGACGACCCCATATCGCATTGAGACCCCCTCCGCTGCCCCGGTATACAAGAACCAAAGTAAGTGATAGCCATATCGCAGGGTGTCGCTATCGGTCTAACATCTGCAGAACCCGCCGATTTCACCCCATGGACCGGGAACCATCCCGAGGACATCCTCAACGAGCAAACCGCGAAACAAGGATATTACGACCGGACACAAGTCTCCCAGAATGAATCCAATACCGCAAGACCAGCTCTTTACGCGCAGTTGAAACACCGGACGGGGTTGCAGATGCTCTCGTCGGTCTTTGCCGCGGCATTAGAGAAACGGCAGAACCACAACACCATCCACGCACCGTCAACCTTTAAACCGCCTCCTCGAGTCACTCTCACAGATAACAAGCGCGAAGGCTGGCTTCGCGATCTCGCCAATCCAACTGTTCCGCTGCGAAGGCTGAGCCGAACCATTCCACACGGTATCCGCGGCAAGGTTCTTCTGGACCAGTGCCTCGGGAAATGGATTCCTGTCGCACGCGCTGTCTGGCTCGCCAAATGTGTCGGTGCTAATGAGATTCGTGCGTTCAAGCGCAAAGGCACAAGCGGTGCGCTGGCTGTCGGCTTGGAGGCGAAATGGGTTCGGGAATGGACGGCAAATGTTCAACAGTTTGTCGAGGGTGTATTCAGCGCGCCAAAATCCTCGGACTGGAAGGCCAAGATGACTTATGCGTATGTGTTAATGGTTTCCCTCTTGTGAACAGCATGCTTACTCTTATCGCAGTGTTGGGTTGACTGCTCGTCTGTTCTTCGAAAACCTGCTCGATCATGATCACTTCCTTGAGTGGTTTTTGACATCCTTTGAGGCTGCCTCGCTCGGTACAATCCCCGTCTGGCTGTTGATGCTCGGTGTATATTGGAATAGTATAATGCGATATCGACGAAGAGGGCGACGACTGGCCGAGCTGCTGCTCGAAAAGCTGCGCCAGGTGAGTTATTTTTGAGAAAACCAATATGTGTCTGCCGTCAATACTAATGGTTATCATAGGCAAATGAAGCAAAACTTGCTTCTCTTCAACCTCTCATCGATCGACTTGCTCGCTTCATCAAACGTCTCGTTTGTGACCATACGCCCTCAATGATCCTCCCGAACACTTGGGAGACGTATAAACAACAAGTGTCATCGGTTCTCGACCTAGAAAAAGCATGTGAAAAAGCCCTATTCCAAAACCTCGCCGAACGCAATGCGCGAGTGCAGCGGCCAAATCATTCCAAACAAACCAACAACCGCTCACCACATCAACGCATCATCCGACACCTCGATTCCATCCGCTCCGCACACGACATCTCCTCCATGTCCTCCTACTTCGACACCTTTGAAGACAAGGCTGAGTTGGTCTCCAAGCTGCTGGAATGGCTGTCCACGCCCTTCCGCCATGGCCTCTGCCGGGTCTACATCGGTGCTCGCCTTCTTCGAAAATGGAAATCAGCTGGCGTGGACATAGACAGCCACATACTCGCTTTTCTCTCACGTGGACGGAATAATCAGAAGTTGAACATGGACCAGATCTATCATGTTATCTCTGAGCTTGTCAGGTCACAGACATTCTCAGTTGGTCGCTATCTTCAGTGGCTTATGGCGAGAGGTGTTACCAATAGCCCTTCAATCACAGATCATTATGTGAGTGTTGTATCTTGGAGGAGCGAAGCCTCTAATTACTGACAAACTGCAGATAAAGGACTTACCAATCGACATCGGACTGATCGCGCAACTTCCCGTTGGTCGTCTTCCAGAACACGTTGCGAATTTGCGCAACACTCTGCAAACACGGACTGGGCTATCTGTTTCTGAAGAATATGCCGTAATTGACAATGTGAAAGAGATCATCAGCCAACGTCTGCCGGGGATTTTTGGTGACAATGCACGTACGACAATGGCAGTAGATTCATTACCGTCGAGCCTAACGTGGGCCGTCAAGGCGGAAATTGGTCAGTGGCTACGCCGTGCCATTGCCCAACACAATCGAAATGCAGCAGAGTGAGTACATTCTTTCTACCTAGTTCTTCCTCCACTAATATCTGGATAGATCGACTACTGCGGCATTCCCTGCTGGTGCTGTTCCCGTGGTATCTGCGCTAACTCCCACCGAGATCTATATTGTCCGTGACATTCTGGAATCATTTGGGGACATCTCAATGTTAGCTGATGTATTGAACTTCGCATCAAGCTGCACCGACAGCACTGTCCTTGCATCAGTAGCAGATACCACAAACTGCCATTTCGACTCTCTCTGCGTGATCGGCGCTACAACCGATCTCTTCCGGCGACTTATTGATGCATACGCAGGCATCAAGAGGTTCGGCGTGCCAGGCCTTGATTTGGTTTTCTCTCTGATCGAACTTGGCTTGCGTATTCCGAGCGAGGTCAATACTGTTGCAATTCTTCGGCAGGATCTCTCCCGCATGGAAAACAAGTCGATCATGGCTGCGTACTCCCCCGTCTCTGACCACATCCCCGACAACTTCGGTGACACCGATCCCTTCCTTCGAGAGAAGTTGGATCAGATTTTACTGACAGGAAATGTCATGGATGAGCCCACTTTGGACGCGATATTCAGCGCATTGACGAAACATCTGGAGGCCGAGGAGGGTCATTCGAAACTGTCAGCAAACGATACATGTCGTTACCTGGCACAGTTGAGGTCTTTCCACCCGAAACACTTCGATGTCATTCTCGCCCGCTGGGTCTGTGGCCATCTGCGATCGCCTGACCGTACTACTTTGCTACGGATTCTCCCGCCGCTCATCGGTGTCGGATGCGTTACCATTCGAGCATTCCTGGCCCTTGCGATGAGACTTGCGCTGTCTACACCAGCGAAAATTCCCAATACAGCTCACTTGCCGGCAGACCTCGTCCAGCTTCTCTTGCCTTCCACTAAAGAGAACAGACGGTTTGATCTGGTCTCCTATCGGTTCCAGCTAGCACAACAGGAATTCCTCACCAAGAATACTGAGGAAGCGCTCAAGATCGTTTGCGATGCGGCGGCTTCAGCCAATACCGGTGATGATGCTCCGGCCAAGTACAGTGATCTGGAGAACTCGATGGTCATATTGCTGCGTGATCTTCTCGTGAGAAAGCCTGAGTGTGTGGCGCAGAAGTGCATGCAAAAGCTCGCTGAGCAGTATCCGGCCGCTTTGGGTATGGTTCAGAAAGCACTTGATCTTCTTCTGGGTATTGATTCACACTCAGATGGAAAATCAGTTCTTTCCGAGATTGAGAAGCTGGCTAGTATGACCGACGACTTTTCGCTTCCATTCTGTCAACTCAAGCTGCAAGTACTATTCCACGCAGATTCAGGAACTGAGGATCGCAACAGTATTGTCGATGCCATGTTCAAGACGGCTGTGGCAGATTCCCGCGCCCACAGGCTTCATTGGGTTGATCTTGTTGCGCTGATGAGCCCCGATGCAGTTCGACAGATTCGCGAACGTGCCGAAAAGGAGTTCTTCTCTGTTCCACTCTTGGAAGACTCGACCAGCGATACGCCCGATCAACCCGACAAGCTGGGGCCACTAGAAACAGCCAAATTGTATCTCACCATCATCGAAGAACTCGCAGGCAGCGTCCCCGAGTCCGGAACCTCATCCGTCGGCTCAGTCCTTGTGGAGAAGATGGACGCACTCCTGCACAAGATCATCACAATGCACAGTACCCTCGTCAACACCCAAAGCACAGCCAGCCAAACCCGCTCAAAATTCGAACGCGGCCTCGCATTCTGGTTCTCAGCGCTCCTCCGCATGGTCGTCATCCATCGCTCCGCCTTCATCCACCAACCCCAAACGCTCAAGCCTAACCCTCCCCACGACCAACTCCGCCTCCTAATCTCAATCTTCTGCATCGCCCTCTCCCGCCTCCCAGGCAATGTCCTTCGCCTCTTCCCAGCAGCGGACTACTTCCCCCACCCAACGTCAACCCCGGAAGACTACCGCCCCTGCCCAGGAATCCTCCTTCAAACCCACGCCCTCGACGTGGCAGCCTCCCTCATCGATATCTTCTCCGATGAAGTCCGCTTCCAATGCGCCCGCTTCCTCAAAGAGAAATGTCCCTCTTTCGTGCCATTCCAGAATGACTCCCGTTTCCTCTACCTCCTCGGTCCGACGCCTGATCAGTCCTCTGTCAATCCACAGCACGTCTCTGCCCCGTCACCGGCGGCGTCAGCGTCGACTCCTACCCCCACGCCTGCGCCTTTCCCTGCTGTCGGTGCATCCGCTGCGCAGCAGTCTGCCGTTGCGGCGTCTAGCTTGTCGAGTGGATATCCTGATGATACGAATTGCATGGCGAGTCGGTTGCGTCTTCAACATCGGGGCAGAGTCGTTGGGCCTTATCCTGTAAGGCCTTGGGAGTTGCTTGAGGATGCGGCGCCGTTTGTGGGTGTTAATGATACGGCCGTTAACTTGGGCTATTTCGATGCTCGGCGTGTGAGAGCTTGATGGCTCGTCGCGAATCTTCTTGGAGGGGTTATTTAGGGCTAGCATCTCTTCGATCCCGGTTATCTCCATGCCTCCTCTCCGACCTTCTTCTCTCGACATGTCCCATTCTTGGTCTCTCGATCTTGAGAGCTCGCCATCTCTCCCTCCCCTTTCACCCTCTCAACCCGACTCTTTACTCCTACGCGCCGTATTCCCCCTCCCCCTTCACTCCACGCTCTCCTTCACCACCGTTACCTTACCTCAACGTCTCTCCTACTTATCGATTACTACCGTGAGCGCTTGCATAAGACAATCTTTCCGATCTATTTCACGTTCTGTTCTGCTCTTTGCTCTCCATTTCGGCCCAGTTCTTCTTTTTTTCTTCTTTTCGTTTTGTTCGGGACATCTCATTGGCGTGCATCATCTTCTGCTTTCAACCACACTGGCATTCGGTATCTATGACATGACATGGCATGCAACATGCAGGATTGCATCGAGAAGCATTTTGTATATATATATCCACCGGCTTCCTTTTCGGCGTTCTATTTTGATTTCAACTAGGCAAGGAGGGAAAGGACTCAAGTGGTTCCTATCTTTGCCGGGGAAATCAATATCACTTGCAACCATCAATATCAACTATGATCTGCTATTGGCTATTACTTCTGCCTTGACTTAATTTTGCATCTATTCTTTATCCTCGATATTCTTTTCCAGTTCTTGGTTTAGGGCTAACTAACCATTTTGGGATTTTGAAACTCTGGGACGGAAAACCGTTAGAGCGGGAGTATCCGTTCCGCTCCCATATATAGTTAATCTCTACTTCATCCTTCTACAACACCACCACCTCTTGTACATGCCACAAGCCAACACAAAATACTAGAAATGATTTTCCAAGATACATCAAAGGAAAGCAATCAAGTCATCATCTCATTCCAAGTATCCGCAGCCGCCTGCCCACTCAAACCAGCAACGGCACTCTCAGCAGCATAGCACTGATCGATAGTAGCCTGAGGAGCATTACACGGGCTACGAAGACGGTTGCAGACCAAATCAGCAGGAGCATCGATCGTAGGCGACGATCCAAAGGGGAAGTCGTTCTGGTTGTTGGTGGTGTAAGAGTAATCCGTACGTCCATCAAGACCATACTCCCACTTGATAGTGGGATCGGTGCACGTTCCGTAATCAAGACCACCACCAGAGTCGCCAGTGTTGCTGCAGTCATCCGCCGTCACGGTGGTCGTAACCTCGAGAGTTTTGGTGTCTGTCGAGGTGACGGTTGAGATTTCGGTGACGACCTGGTTGTTGGTGATGGTGCTTGTGTCGGTTGTGGTGATTGTATCGGTGACCGTTTCAGTTTCTGTAACGCCGGGCTCGGTGACAGTGGAGGTGCCGATGTATTCGGTTGTGGTTGAGACGGGGCCTGGGGTTGTGATTGTTGATGTTACTGTTGGGCCGTCTTCTGTTACGGTTGTTAGATCCGTGGTTGTTGCGGTGCACGAGCTGATTGTCGAGACGACGGTTTCAGTCTCTGTCTCTGTGGTGGTTGATCCGGCGATGTTGTTGTTGCCGGTTGTCACAGTCGCTGTGCAGGCAGTGATTATTTCCGTGATGGTGGCTGAGCCTGTGCCGTCGCCGTCGATAGTGACGGTCACGGTGGCAGTGGGCGAGACAGGGCTGAAGATATTATCGTTAGCCGCTTGGCTTCAATTTTTCAATATATCAGGCTCACCAGTCAGTCGTAGTGAACGGCGGTGGAGAATGGTAACCATAATGGTGGCCGCAGTGGTTGTCAGACCCTCCATATCCCCCTTCTGGGCCACCATGGCTGTAGCTATCGTCTCCATCGATGTTGATGTTCGCGGTATCTCCATGGCCGGAACTTCCCCAGAATGTGTCCTCGGCCCAGGCGTCGGGACCAGAGCCACCGGCCACAGGGGCTGCAAGGGCAGGAAGCACATGCAGCAAGGCCGCCGAGAGAGCCGCAAGATTGGCGTAAGACGGCATGGTCGAATTAGAAATTATCCTATTAGATCGATTATAATCAGATCAACAAAAAGTATGGAAAAATAGAATGGGACTACGCCGAGTCCCTATGAAAATAATTCGCCAAAAGAGTGTGGGTGATGTTCGTGACTTCGACAGTCGTCGTATGAAGCTATATTTATACACTCACAAGTACGGAGTACGTAAATACACATTTTTGGGAAGGAATGATAAGCATGTGGAGCTCGGTTTATATACGTATCTATCCTACTTTGGTCCTCTACTGGATTCTTCATGACGTCGAGTTCATAACATCTGCTAGGGTTACCTGATTCAAGAGCAAGCAACGTTATTCTAAAGAATGCCACGCCACAATTGCACCGATCCACTCCAATATACCCTCGCCAAGGGCAAGTATGCGAGCTCTTATGGCTAAAACGATTTCTACTAATATTATCCATGTGTACTATGATATATTGTGCCAGTATATTCGTACTTGTTTTTCTTACATCCAACAAGATCTAAACTACAAGATACAAACAAAACTCCTCTAAAACTGATATCCTGTAGTTAAATAAGATATCCATGGGTGTATAAGCAAGGAAAGCAATACAAGGCCGATGTGGTAGGGACACATTCCAGAAACATATTGCTCCTACTTCGGTGAGAACTAAAGGGTCGACGAGCTGGTAACCCCTGATTCAATTTCAAATTGCATAAATAATCCCAGTCCATTTTTTTGGGTTGTTTTCTTAATTGTCATTTCCGTTAACGTGGAAGTCCACAAACACAAGATAGACCATGGGAATAAAATCAGAAAAACAGAAAAAAGGACATGACAATAGTGCAGGCAGATCGGTATCCATAATACATAAAAAAAATAACAATAGAAAGCTCAACATCATCAAAGCAAGGCACATATCCTCTGACGTATCCATCTCCGTTTCCATATCCATTTCAACACTGACTTAGTTGTGGTCATTCCATTCTTCGTCCCAAACATTGATCGGCTCATCCTCATCCCGCGATGAAGCAGATGGACCGTTCGTGAGCGCAGGAGTAGGAGGAGGAGAATCCTCATAATTGGCGTTCTCTTGGTTGGCGGTTTCCTCGTTTGGGGTCTCTTCGTCAGCATCATCTGCATTGACGTATTTCTTCCTTTGTTCATCCTCCATTTCCATGATGAATGCTAGCAGCCACGCCTCTTCCAAACTAATCTCCAGCTCCGTTGCCTTGTCCATTACAATTTCCTCCATAGCATATTCCTTGGGCATAAAATCTTGTGGCAGGGGCGTGCGGTTAGCAAAACGCTCGCGGATAAGTGCATCCATTCGTATTTCCTCTTCGACGCAAAGCTCCTCTTTGGTTTTTGCTGCTGGTTCAGATGCTTCCTCTTTCTCTTCCTCCTGCTCTGTCTCTGAAGCTTTGCCCTTTCCCTTGACGTCCTCGTGCGCCTGAGAATTGCCCGTGGTGACATCTCTGGTTAGATCGGGGGCGGGTGGCTTGCTCGGAAGATTGGAGGAGGACTTTTCCCCGGGCTTAGCGGTAGGGAGGAACTTTGGAACTGGTTGATCCTGGGATTCGACATTGGTAAAGGCACTGGGTGGCTTTGGGGCAGTTACTGACTTGGGACTGTGAGATTTTATGGAGGCGGGAGCGGCTGATCTCCAGGAGCTCGCTGTGGCAGAGTATCTGGGAATAGTTCTCTGGGGCTCAACTGTGGTGGGTATCTCGAGGGCAACTGCTTTCTTGGGCTCGGTTGGAGCTAGCGTCTTGGGGGCTGCCGATGCAGAGGACTCAGCCTTGATTAAAGTCTTAGTTGGAGTGTTAATGGTAGTCGATGCAAAGGCCTCAGGCTTGGCCGGCGTCTTGGTTGGAGTCGAATCGAAAGGGTCGGTCTTAGTTGGAGATTCCAGACTCGCCGCTTTTCCTTCTCCGTATGCAGCTCTCTTAGCATGCAAGGGAATAGTGGGTATCAACTTGGACTCAAGTTTGGGAGTGATGGAGCGGAGCACTCCCTTGCCCTTCCGATCAGCAACTTGTTCAACACTGGGCGGGGCTGCCAGCAGCTGCTTGGTCTCGTCCTTGGGCGCTTCATCATCTGGATTTTCCTTCTTATCCTGAGCTGGAGCTTCAACGGTATCGCGCGAGCTCTGAACAGGCTCGCTCACAGCAGTCTGCGTGTCGTCTTCCTTTTCCACATCACCCAGAGGCTCGGAAGGTGTGGCAGTGACGATACCACTCTCAGAGTAATCAGGTTGAGTAGGGGGAAGGTCAGAACTTCCATCGGTGTCAGCATGGCGCACAGGGTTCAGACGAGGAATCTCGGAGTCAATTATTGGACCCTGGCGCTTGGGGCGCTCACATCCCTTTTCCTTAGGGCTGCTGGGGGCAGTGCTATCACTGCTAGATCGGCAGCTGGAAGCGGTCTCTCGGTGCAAGCCGGGCAGGTTGTTAATAGGTTGTTTGTGGGTGTACCCCTCTTGCAAACCATAGCCAGTTGAGGGGCTGTGCCAGTCGTTTTGCATGCCAGTGTATCCATTGTCAGCCATGTATGAATCTGGGTAGTATGGTGGTGAATGTTGGTTAGGTTGTATGTCATGCATTGGTTGACTGGAGACAATGAGAGGGCCAGTCGTGATGGGAGGCAGATATGAACCAGAACCAGGACCCACGTTAGCCATGTGCATTTGCTGAGGCATGTGTTGCAGAGGTGGTTGTGGGAGGAAGCCGGGTTGGTTGGGAACAATGAAAGGGTAAACCGGCGGGAAAGGCTCGGCAGTGTAGTATGGTGCAGGAGGGCCTTCTTGGAATTGCATCTGGGGGTTAAACATCATAGGCTGGGCAGCAGGGAAAGGACCTGGAGCCGGGAAGCCTTGGTTGGGATAGCCTTGAAAATTGTTTGGATGGTTTTGATGGAAGCCACTGCTGTTGGAGTAGCCGTGGCCAGGGAAGTGATTGTTCGGGAAGTTGTTGATCGGGAAGCCGGCTGGAACGTTATTGTTTGCGAAGCCCTGGCCATTGTAACCGTTTGGGGAGGTTGGACCGTTCATGTTCTGATGATTTCCGTAGCCGTTGGAGTATCGATTGCTTCCACCATAGTTACTGCGGGCATTACCTCCACGAGGCGGGAACTGACGACCACCTCTGGGACGGTTATTGTGGTTGTTGTTGAATCTCTGGCCGTTGCCACGGGGTGCCATTTGGTTATTGGCTCGCCCGGCCTGATTGCCCGGAGATCTCTGGGAATCCATGGGGGGATGCAGATAGAAGGTTTCGTCGGAATAATCCTACTACCGTTAGCAAACAGCTTAGCGAAAGAGAGGGAAAGAGGGAAAGAGCGTACCTTGACAGCTTCCTCGTAGTCGCCGAGGAAGGCAAAAGTGACTCGGCCTACCTGAAGAGGCTCGCCTGAGTTCAGTGACTGCTCGATGATGACGTTCTCAAGAGAACCCCAGCTGTTGAGGGCGTAAGCAATGTCGTACTCAGTAATGGGCTGTCCGGAGTGGTGTCCAATGATGGCGTCGCCTGATAGAAGTTAGGAAAGGTGAGATTGGGGAAGAAGAAAGAAGGTGGAAGGAACTTACGTTTACAAGCAGCAGGTTCAACCCTCAGTGTGCGATCATGCAGTTGGATCCCGGGGTACTGCTCGATGGCCTTTTGTGCAGACTCGGGGTTCTAGTAAGTGTCAGTTGTGTTCTATCAATACGCTTGAACACTCGGTATCACTTACATCAAATACCACAAACGCGCCAGGTAGGGCTTTCTGTCTGCCTTCCTTGACTTTGACCCAGCACTGACCAAACTCGGAGAATGTCTTGATTAGGTCTTCCTCCATACGTGCAGGAACAATTTTGGTAGACAGACTTGAGTAGCCTTAGTATATACTTCATGACTAGTCAGAGCGAGGGACACTCACTTTCCAACAAAGATAGAACATGAGTGGTCAAAGAAGCACTGGGCGTTCTTAGCCGTAATGGCTTGATTTATGCGATCCGCACGCCGAGGATATCTCGGCTGGTAGCCGCTTCCATTCGGTTTAGTTTGTGATTCTGGGGTGTTATGTCCGGAAGTACTCTGATCAGGAGTACTAGGGTCGCGAGGGACATATTCGACATGCTTGATGCCATTCTTGCGGGTATCATGTGCAGTTTCAGAGGCATTTGACTCAGAGCCACAGCCACTGGACTCAGGAGTCTTGGGCTCCTCAGCACCGGAGGTGATGTGCTGAATGACCATGTTTGATATATAGTATAACACTGACTGAATCTTTTTTTTTGTACTGCTAAACGAGAGTATTGCTAAAGTGCAAATAACGAACGAATGAATGAGTAAGCGAACGAGTAGGATAGATGAAACGGATTAGTAGGAAATATGAACACAGAGAGAGAAAGAGAAGGGAGGAGGACAGTGGGCGACGAGGGCCTTATATGAAAAGGTGGGCAGAGAGGCCAGCCCTTAGAAGAGCAGAGGTAAACCAAAGGTCCCATCATGACTCTTCTGCTGCTGCCAATCAAAAATTACAATTATATTATCACATAGCAATAGCCATGGATAGAGTATCGTGACCTTCGAGTATGAGCTAGAGCCAGCCTTTTCCTGGTATCGAGGTGGTATTTCCAACACTCATGACTCTTTATAGAGTTGTTTATCGGCCAGGGAATAAGGACCATGCAGTATTTGATTGGCTCTCAGAGGACTGTCTTGAATGTCGGCCTGAAGCCATGTATCAGACGAGAGACGTACTGATCAGAATGTCGTCAGTAGACGGCACCTAGATGGCAGTTGCATATACACAAACCATTCCCTCAATTTTACGTGGGAGGAAAATTGCCACCCCCTGAAGTATACAATGGAACTATTCTACTGATTATTATACATCTGCTGTCGATATAGAGTACGCTGAACCTCAGGAATACCGGGCTTGGTAACTTCAGTTGCAGGACTACCAAGAAAGACCATGACGTGATAAAGTGATAGAGTGAGAGAAACCAAAAGAATCAGACTAATAAACCCTTTGAATCTAGGGAGAGTAGTAGTGCAGTCAGTATAGTACACATATAGTAGAGTGAAGTGAAGTGAAGTTAACTTATCTCTTATCGGATCAATCCACGCCACCTCGGATGCTGGCCGGCGGCATCTCCAGCTCCCGAGCTCTGGACCTCATCTCTCTTCTTCAACTCCTCAAAATGTTCCCAACGAAACGTCTAGCCCAAGGCGGGTTCTTCAGACGCAGCGCTGACGAACTCGGTCGTCTATCCAAAATCGGTAAATTACACGCAAGTGACATACCAATCACGCCGACTAACAAGGAACCAGCCTGGAACACAGAAACCCTCCACACACCCACGAAACCTTACTCAATCCTCAACTTCGAAAATGAAAGCGAAGTCAAAGCCTGCAAGACCATGGCCGACCGCGCCGTAGGAGGCTTCAGCACCGCCAGCTTAGACTTCGAGCCAGCAGACCCTTCAACAAACACACCTTCGCATGCCCGGTTCCACGGCACCATCTCAACTAAGCTCCCAGAAAACTGGCGCGTTGAAAGAACCGGTAAATCTACAAATCTCCAGCCCAAGCTCGTTGCCGATAGGCGGTCAGAGAAGACTCAAAAGGCTAATCACTGGCACATGCACAGGCTATGCCGCCTTCCGCAACCAAGACAGAGGCCTTTGGCTTTTCGGTCGCCTGTTCTGGGATGTCGATCCATACTCGTATCTGGCCTTACGGATTAAATCCGATGGTCGACGATACACCGTTAACGTTCAGAGTGACTCCATCGTCGAAACGGATATCCACCAGCACAGACTATACACGAAACACCATCGTGTGCGCGACGCTGAAGATCATAATGACAACCCCGAGTCTCTAGCCGAACTTTACCCGGAGGGTATGCCCGCGGCACTTTCAGATGTACCGCCCCAATCCACAATCCTTGCATCATCGACTAGTACGACGACATCTGGGGGAACGGGATGGGAGACTGTTCTATTGCCGTTCAACTCGTTTGTTCGCACGAATCATGGCTACGTCATCGAACCTCAGACATCGCTGATGCGCCAGCGCATTAAGAGTATCGGTATTGGCTTGACGGATCGAGTGGAGGGGCCGTTTGATTTGCGCATTCATAAAATCTGGGCGACTAATGGGATGGGTGAAGCAGAGCATGAAGAGGAGGTGCGGATTTGCGGTGCGGATGCCTTGCCTATTGATGAGGGTGTTCGGACGGGTTGGACTGAGGAGCCCGCGCCGAAGCCTGAGAGGGAACAGCGGCAGCAGCAGGAGCAGCGGTCCAAGGAGAAGGGGCTCAAGGGATTGAAAGGGGAGTGGGATGAGTGATCTCATTCATAGCTGTTGTATGTGTATATTACCCATGGTGGGATCTCGGCTTTGTTACTCCCGTCTAGAGGGACAGTATAACAATTTGGACATGAATTGTAGTTTCATTTCATCCTGACTCATTCAAGAAATACATAAGGCGTAGACTCGAGTGAATTACTCGATAGATAGCGTCTATACTTGGTCGCTCTATTTACCACCGGTGATCTTCTCCCAAGCCTCCTTATACTTCTCAGCAGTCTTGAGAGCAATATCCTCGGGCATGCGCACACCCTCCTTACCCTTCAGACCCTCCTGGACCAGCCAGTCACGCAAGAACTGCTTGTCGAAGCTGGATTGGCCCCGACCGATAGCATAGGAATCCTTAGGCCAGAAGCGGGATGAGTCAGGCGTCAAAACCTCATCGGCGAGAACCACCTCGTTAGTCTCTTCGTCGACACCAAACTCGAATTTGGTATCGGCGATGATCACGCCTCGCTCGAGAGCGTACTCGTGCGCGGTCTTGTAGAGCTGGATAGCCAGCGAGGCAACAGTCTCGGCGTGTTCGCCCAGGATAGCGGCAGCTGTAACAGAAATGTCAGTTCCTTGTATCTATAAAAACCCACCAATTCTCAAAATCAGACAAAAGACCGCCTCCGCGGAGTCGTCCAAGCTGTACATATACATACCCTGATCAGGATGGATATTCTCATCATGCTCGCCCTGCTCAGCCTTCGTGCTGGGTGTGTAGATAGGACCATCAGGGAAAGCCTGACTCTCCTGCAAACCCGCAGGGACCTTAATGCCGTGCACAGTGCCAGCCTTCTTGTACTCATTCCAAGCCGAGCCGGTGATGTATCCGCGGACGATAGCCTCAATGGGAAGGATCTTCAGCTTGCGCACTTGCATGCTGCGGTTCTGCAGGACTGGGCGCAAGGACTCCGGGATCTGGGGCGGGAGGTCGAGAGTGAGGAAGTGCGTGCGTAGGGAAGGGTGTGCCTCTTTCAGGGCGTTGAACCATGTTCGTGTGCAGAGGGTGAGGAGGACGCCCTTGTTGGGGATACCCTGTTGATTGTGTTAGCGAGTAGATCAATTGTACGTTATGGCAAGAGAGTCGCAATTGCAATTGAACTGTGGTGGGGGTTGTACATTCTCCATGATCACATCGTAGGCGGAGATGCGATCGCTCGCAACGAAGAGGAGGGTCTTGTCGTCAATCTCGTAGAGGTCGCGGACCTTGCCTCGGGCAATGAGGGGGAGGGCACCCTGCAGGTCAGTGGTAGTCAGAGCTTGAGACATGGTGAATTGTGCTGAAGAAGTTCTGCGTCATCGTCACTTTTTTCCCGAATTTTGGCGGGGTCCCGATTTCGGCCTTGTTGCCTCAGGCGATCATTTATATCGCAACGCGCCCTTGAGAAGCTCATTGCTGATACACAGGAACTGCAAGATGGCACAGCAGTAGCGGACACAAAATGACGCGTTATTTGACTCCCTGGAGGGTCTCGCTGCTGTGTCTGGTCACACTCTATACGGATGGTGTTGTTCCCAACTCGTCTGCCATCCACGTCCTCTCGTTCTTGACCGCGGGTCTATTTCCGCTCGACCCTGCCGATAAGCAATGGCAGGAGCACTACTTGCCAAGCATTGCAGAGCTCGAGGTCTGTCTCGCTGGTCATGAGTCCTCTGTTCCTGGGCGCTCGCTTTGGGACCTGTTTCTGAAGAACCTGTGGTCCCTCGACTCAATGGATGCGCTGGAGACATTCTTCAGCGATGTGATTCCATCTCTGCTGGCCAAATCACGCGATGAGCAAATCCAAGACAGGGACAATGGGCTTGCCCCGGAACCCGAAGATCGCATGCGCTTGTCGAGGAGTTCGCCACTGGGCGCGTTCGTGCGCAGATCATATCTTGAATACACGCGGTTGCAGTTTCATGATTCTGTGAAACTCTGGACTGGCTTTGTCAAGTACCGTCTTCCAACCTACACCTATTGGTCACGCAGGCATCGGGGAGCTGAGGGGAAAACCGTTGATGTCAATCTTCGTGCTTTGGGACTGGATTCCACGAGCCACCTGTCACAGGTAGTGTACGGCAATATCGAATATGACGAAGAGGATGAGGGTGTGGTCAGCATCAAAGATGCAGAGAGATTGGTTGAGTTCCAAGTCGGTGAATTGCAAAGTACGTTCTCCTCCAGTGTATCATGCTCATGTGCTAACAGATACAGGGATGGGAGGCAGAGTTCCAGACGAAATGAGAGCTCAATTGAAACACATCATAACCTCGGAGTCAACAACGCCGGTGTTGATGTACTACCTAGAGTACGTTCCGATGCACGAAGGCATTTACCAGGTGGCTGATAACATCTAGATATCTCGACGCCTGGAGGGCTGGGGACTACACATCAGCGTTTGATAACCTGCACCGGTACTTCGACTACAACATGCACACAAATCTTGATCGAAGTGCGTATCAGTTCGCCCTCCTGAACTTAGCAATCATCCAAGCGGACTTCGAGTGCTTCAATGAAGCCATTTCAGCCGTGCAAGAGGCGGTCGCAATCGCCCGCGAGTCGCACGATATGAATTGCCTGAACTTCTGTATGAGCTGGCTGTATCACTTCGGCAAGGCTTTTCCGGTGCAGATGCGAGAAGTTCAAAACAGCGGGATGTTGGGTAATGAGAAGGAGGGTCTCGCTTTCCTCAAAGCCAAGTCTAAGGAGACCGACATGTGGTCTCTGATGAGTACTACATTGCTAAGCGAGGCTAAGTTGGAGATGCAGCAGGTACGGATCTTGCATGGCTCTGAAAAATGGAAGTTACTGATCTTTACAAGGGAGAGAGTCTTGCGTCGATCGTGGAATCTTTTGTGCGAGCATCTCACGTTAATGTGACAAAAAGCCTCACAACACCTACGGGTGCATACATGCTGCTACAAGGCTCCATGTACGCTCGGATAGGTATGATTCTTGAGAATCAAATGTGGCGATAACCATGCTAACTGAACAATATAGGAGCTACTCACCTTTCTTGGCTAAATACCGAAGTATTTCGCGAGTGCTACTTGGAGGGCCAACCTCATGATGACTTTGTCAAGATTACATTCCGAAACTGCCAAATAGTATGTGAACTGGCTGTGCCATTGGTGACTCATGACAGACAGCTGATTACTCTCTACAGTTAGCACAAAAAGGAAACTACAAAGAAGCATCTGCACGAATGAACAAAATCGAGCCAGAAAAGCTGCGAGCCTTCAAATACAACAACGCCTGGACGTATTACTCTGGGCTCCTACAACTACAACGGCAAATCTGCCGGTAAGTACTCCACACCAACCAAGCCACATCCAATCTAACACACAACAGCGACGACAAAGTAGCAGTGGAACACATACTCTCCCAACTCCAAGCCGTCCAACTCCTAGACTTCGACATGCGCCTCCTCCTAGCATTCCACTCGATAGAATTCACGATCCGCCAAGGCGACTACGGACGCGCCCTAAGAATGGTCGAACAAGCCGCCCACGCCATGCAACCCGAGAACTTCGACGTCCACTCTCAAATCAAGCTTCTCTGTCTAAAAGCGCAAATCCTCGGGAAATCCGGGCAGCCGCAACGGGGTTTCTCGCTAGCAATGCGCGCAGCTAACATCGCGCATCGCTCAAAGGTCCTAGCCGACCTCTGGGCGGCTATCTGCACGCTGGCCACAGTCCTATTAAGCCTTCACGAATTTGAAGCTACAGGCGAGCTGGTCGAGAGCATTATGCCACAAATCCTGGAGTCAGACGACTACGCACTCATTGCGCAGGCGTATTCGCTTCTTGTGGATGCGAATATGGGTATTGCCGGTGAGTTGTGGAGACTACAGGGTCGGGACTCGACGTCTACAAGGAAAGAGTATGTCAATCGGGCTCTTGGGTATATCGATTCGGCGTATGATCACTTCGAGGAGATTGAAGATATTAAGGGCCAGACGGAGATGATGGCTAAGAAGGCTACTGTTATGCATCTTACGGGTGACCCTGTCTTGGCAAATGATTATGCGGCGAAATATCTGGATCTGCGGAGGCGACGGGGTGCTGAGGCGTGATGTATTGGTACCTTTTACACAGAATTAATAAACACTGGCCTTCATTCATACGTCAAACTGTTGGGGAGATTTACTGTTATTATAATCCGAGGTAATGGTTAAATTCTTTTAAAACTTCGAGCCGTCCGAGAAGTGATTAGGGCTTTTGCTGTTTATCAGGGGTGTCTATTATGCATTGGCTCTTCATAGGTTGCCGTAGTGGCGTTTAGCGTGAGGGACCAATAATGGACTATCGTGAAACTCAATCATATTTTATCGTTGGTTTCCGTTCAATATGATGTAAAATATCTCTGATAATGTCCATCACAATCGGTTTCTTGTTCGGTCATGCTTAAGGCACGGTGATACACCATGATATTAGACAGTACTAAAAATGTTCGAGTCATATAGTGGACTTTATTAGTTCACAAATATAGATCAGACCAAAATTGGCCTTGATCCATCTATGTAAAGCTTCTAGGCGTTGGTGTTTGCATACTAAATCGGTCAGCAGCTTTGACATGCAAGTAGTAGTCCAATAATCCATTATAAAACAAGATATACATGGCATCGTCACAAATAAGTAAGTTAGTAAATATATACACAAACCGCTCAATCACTATCCCTCCAACCAACAAGAAACTCATCCAACAAATCATAATTCGCCTTCTCAGTCCGCTGCCGCAAAAGTTCAGCCCCAATATCAAATTTCGCATCTGCATCAGCCTGCTCTTTATCTGACAAGGATTGGCAGCGCCTGGCAGTATTCCCACTCCTATTCCTCCCGGCAACCGCAAAGGATGGCTTGGCTTCCGGCATATCAAACTCGAAATCCACCAAATCAGGACCAAGTTTGATCCTCGGCTGCGTGTCTATCCCGTAAACGCTGGGACCGCGAGTTGAACCGAACATCCCATCAAATGAAGAGATCTCATTCCCGGAGTTGAGATCATGATATTGTCTCTGGGGATATTCAGGAGATTCCGAGCCGGAGATTGTATGATTGTCGCTATGTTCCATGGATTCATAGCTCTGCGGTGACCAGGACTGTGTTTGCTGAGGTCCATCGTGGACTCGATCTCGATGATTGTTTTTTTCGACAACTTCCCGATGTTCATGTTCATGCTCATGTTCATGCTCATGTTCATCTTCATGGTCATGTTCCCCATCACAATGCCGACGAGTACACCCATCATTGAAAAACTCCTTAAGCAGCAAACTCAATTGACAAAGTCGCTTCATCTGTCGCGGGGGAAGTTCTTCTTCTTCTTCTTCTTCTCCAACGGGACTCATCATCTTTCTCTTCCGCCTCGAGCTATCCCGCTGTTCTGACATAGAACTCCGCGCCACAATCCCGTCTTTCAAACTCGCACCTGGTGAAGTTTCACGTCCGACACCAGACTCTAATCTAAGCGTATCTTCCTCATCATATGCAGTCGCAGGCTTGAAATCGATATTATGATCTATCAAGACCTGTTTGAGATATTCGACGCGACTTTCAAGAAAAGAGACATAGCTGCGTGGTAACTCGCGCTTAGTGAGAGGGTCATAGCCCACACAGCGGGCGCCTGCTTTTTCGCAGGATTCACAGCGTGGAAGGCGCTGGTCGCAGCGGTGTTTGCGGAGGCGGCAGCGGTTACAGGCTGAGACGTTGCGAAATGGTGGGGGTGTGGGATTTGAGGTTGAGAGTGAGGGTCGTGTGCTTGAAATTTGGCGTTGTTTTGGTCGTGTCACTTGTGTTCGCGGTGTTGTTGGGTTATGTTGTGTCGAGTTTGGGAGTTGGTTGGTCCATCTGCTTTCTGGGACTGGAGATGTTGGAGATGTAAGGTCTAGCATGGCGAAATCGGGTTGAATGAAGAGAAAAGAAGAAGAGAAAAGGAACAGATAAGAAAAAAAATACAATTGGGGTATATTGGAGCTTTGTCTTCTGCTATCAGACAACTATGGAATAATTATAGCTCTTGAATTCCGAAATGACAGCTCCACGGTGTGCGATAAGGTTCGAATTCCGGTTGAACTCCGAAAGGCGTTTAAAACTCCGAGACATTCCTTGGAGACCGATCTGCTTGAGGGGCTGTTCCTAACGGGGTTATTTTATGTGCTGATCTCTTTGAGCACACGAGGTTGCCGATGTTGACCATGCGGCTGTAGATATTTCCCATAGATTGCTATACCTGTCAAATGGCTTGCTTATAGTTACCTCTCCAAGCCTTGACATTCCAAAATGCTTCTAGAACCAAAATGCACAATTTCGATTAGCTATACCATTCTAGGCTGGCTAAAGAGCATGGACGCACTCGGCTGCACTAAGTGGACTGCGTGGAGGCACTAACACGTTGGTGTTGCATGTGGATAGAACGGGTGGAGAGGCGTTAGATAGAGTGCTCCACTATACACTGTAGAACTGAGGACATGAAGGTCAGGCTCACTCATTTCCCGCGGCAAACTAGAAGTATCGAGGGAAGTTAGCATAGTAGAGGGAGGCGGGGGGAGGAAGGGAGGAAGTTAAGACGCCAAGCTTCGGGGCGGGTGCACGGTCCGTCATGTAGTATGCGGAGTGAATCCTTATAGATGCCGGCTATTCAACTTGCATCTCGCCTGGGTCGGCATATGGCTCCAATCGGATCACCTTACGGGGTTTTAGGGGGAGCCCAGACTCCGTAACACCGGTCGATGGAGAACTCTCAATATCTAGACGTATGTGATCAACAGTTCCCCCGGGAGATACAGAAAGAGATTTCTAGAGGAATTGAGACGAATTGGCACAATCCACTCAGATATCCATGCTGGTAAGGCTGATGTAGTAGACATAACCATACCATGGGAAGAATCCCTAGGATCAAAACGGAACGGATAAATCGGGAACCAGAACGAATTGTACCGTAGAACAGAGCAGGAAACAATATCCCCTTTTACTCAAAGACATGCATTCTCTCATCCGAAAGCCAAATCGAATAAAGCTTCCACAAGCACCATGGATATGGTGGGGGAAGCACCCGCCCTCCTCTGCCGATCCCTTCTCCCATTGAGCAGCATCCACGCCAATCCGCGGGGCCCCAGATAATCCAAATCCCATTTCGTTTTCAAATGATCAAAGTCTAATTATACGTTCCCTCAATTCAGGTTTCCCCAATGACTCAGGGTCCTTTTTCAAGGCACTATATAACACCGCCCCTCGACCCACTGTATCCATGATATCATTCAGTATTACATAGTTCATATTCCCAACTCGCCCCCCGTCTCCCATTTCTCCAATATCCTTGTCGTCTACAAAACAATCCTGCGCCTTGCATTATTCCGTGCCACATAATGGCACAAGACGACACCGAAGATGCGCGGGGGGTTTCCACGGCCGTGGATATGGAAATGACCATGACGAACGACGACCCCAAACTGTTGAAACAGGCACCCGATGCAGATGAGGCCATGAAAGCCTTTGAAGAGATGCAGGGGGAAGCAATTGAACTGGATGAAGCAACGAACCGCCGGCTTGTGCGTACGATTGACTGGCATATTATGCCGATAATGTGTTTCGTCTATGCAATGAACTTTCTCGATAGTATGCTATTCAACAGTGCTAGGATATTTCATAATTTATGATCTACAGCTAACCTGTTCCAGAAACTACATTGTCTTACGCCAGTATCATGGGTCTGAAAGAGGATCTCCATCTGGTTGATGATCAGTACCAATGGCTTGGTAGTTTGTTCTACTTCGGTGAGTTAACGTTATCTTGTTATACATTCTCCATTAAGAGGATCTGACATTGATATATACGATCCAGGCTATATCGCCTGGGAGTATCCAACAAACCGCCTCCTGCAACGATTACCACTAGGCAAATACTCCGCAGCATGCATAATAATCTGGGGACTAATCCTCAGCTGCTTCGCCGCAGCGAAGAACTACCCAGGGGCGATCGCAATCCGCTTCTTCCTAGGTGTATTCGAAGCAGCCGTCACACCAGGTTTTGCACTCCTCACCTCTCAGGTATATATATACATACCATCACCGACCCCCTCCACTTTCCTATAACCAAGCCCAAAAACTAACAAAGCAAAAGTGGTACACCCGCACCGAACAAGGCAAAAGAGTAAACATATGGTACAGCTTCAACGGCTGGGGCCAAATAATAGGCGGGCTCGTAGCCTACGGAATAGCAACCGGAGCGCGCAAACACGGCTCTCTAATAGCCCCCTGGAAAATTGTCTTCCTCTTCACGGGCCTGCTAACAATAGTCCTGGGCCTTGTCTTTCTCTGGGTCGTACCAGATAGCCAACTCAACGCGCGCTGGCTGAAGAAACAAGATCGTGTCCTTGCTATTGCCCGTGTGCGCATTAACCAGCAGGGAATTGGGAATAAGCATTTTAAGTGGTATCAGGCTAAAGAGGCATTGCTCGATCCTATGACTTGGGCTTTCTTTTTTTTCGCGCTTATTGCTGATATTCCGAATGGGGGAATTACGAATTTTTTTAGTCAGTTGGTATGTTATTCATTTTTTTACCTACTTCTTCATTTTTACAGGTCTTTCTATTGGGAATTTGGACTAACGAATGTCACTCTTGTTGTTGGAAAGATCACCAGCTTCGACTATACACCCGAACAAAGCCTACTATACGGCACACCAGCGGGAGCAGTCGAAGTCGTGGCACTACTGCTAAACGGCTACATGGGCGACCGGACTGGGCAACGAATCCTATGTAGTCTAGGCGGACTACTGACAGCGACGATTGGAGTTGTCCTGATTGTGGCACTGCCACTGGAGAACAACATCGGCAGACTGATTGGGTATTACATGACGCAGGCATTCCCGACGTCATTTGTTGCGCTTTTGTCGCTGATTTCCTCGAATGTTGCGGGATATACTAAGAAGACGACTGTGGCTGCTTTGTACCTTATTGGGTATTGTGCTGGGAATATTATTGGTGAGTCCGCATTAGAGGGAGATATTTTTGGATCTACTATATACTAACCGTCCAGGCCCATTAACATTCCGCCCTCAAGATGCACCGCGCTACATCTCCGCCGAGATAATCATCATCTGCTGCTGGGGCGTGTCATTGCTAATTCTGCTTTATATTTGGTGGTGGTATAATAAGGAGAATCGACGGAAAGCTGCTATCGTTTCGAGGGCTGACTATGTAAGAGTGGAGAACCGGGAGTAAGTTGCTTCTCTTTTCGTTTCTTGCGTTACTGTCCACAGTGTCCACCAGTATACAGTATAGTTCTGGATATCTTGTACTCCGGACTGTATCTGTATCTGCATCTGTTTGGAATTGGATTCACTAACCGACTCTTCTATTTCAGGTGGCTGGATCTTACAGACCGGGAGAATCATGATTTTGTTTATACGCTGTAACTTACGCTTACGTTTACGTTTATATTTACATTAATGTAGATGTTGACGGTGATGGAGATTTAGTAAACAGTTCCACGCACCTGCACATGTATCTATTCTAAAATGGTGTCCCCGTCTACGGATGGTAGATACTGTACAGATGGTGACGCGGCAGGATATATGATATTTTCTGTAGCACAAGTGCGGTCAAGATATACTTTACTATACAGATGTAGGAAAGCACGTATATGTATTCCCGTGCAGTGCAGACAATGACACTACAATACGTACTGCATGCCAAGTTATAGCGGCGGGAAGGGAAGGAAAGGAAGGGACGGGTCAAAATACAATAACGGATATGTAGAATGGGATTGGCTGTTGATATGGTAACTTAATTACTGTTAATATAAGCACGCGACCCTTGCAACGCAAGTAAAGTACAGTAGATGAGGGTCTACCCCTAGCTCGAATAAAGCATAACAAAAGATATTTTATATTTTACCTGAGGCTGGGATGGATAATCCGAATTATGAATTAAAGACTAATGGGAAATACACTGCATGATGCATAATCTCACAGGCTACAGGTCACATCCATGGATACCCAGGCAACGTAACGCGCTGCGCCCCTACAATAAACGCCGATCACCAACCATTGGACGCGAGTTACAAGCAAGGTAAACAACCTTAGAAAGCAGACGTATCAATTCAGCCGATCTGATCTCGGATGATATAATGTATTTATAAGATTTGCATCGGCAAATCAGATGCAAACCCAAAAGCCTAACGCCGTCGATCCAGGGTCCCTGATTGTAGGTAGATGCACATAAGAAAAAAAAAAAAAGAAAACAAAATGGAGAAACAGGGAGAAGAGTAACACAGGCATAACATAACACTCCGGGAATGGAAATGGACAAGCAACGCATAAGATTGGACCATGTGACACGTTATCTATACAGTTAGATGGCAAAGTGTACCTGGAAGTTCAAGGCCAGGTAGCTAAAATTAGAAGATGAAGGAGTAAACGAAGACCAAGATGGTCGCCACGGTGGCGACACTGTACTCGAGTTCGAACCACGCGGCTTGGCCGCCGAAGGCGATCTTCTTGCTCTTCTTGGTTGGATGGGCTACGCCGGTCTTGGGGTCGCGGGTGAGGAGCTCCTCGCGCTCCGGCATGGTGGGTGGGTCGATGGCGTAGGAGACGGGCGTCCAGAGGGAAGTGCAGATGAAGAGGAAGGTGAGAGGGGGCCAGAAGGCGTGCGTGATGAGGCACAAGATGATGTCTCGGAAGCTGGTGTTTTGTGCGAAGCAGCGGTAGGAGGAGATCACCACCGCCACGAGAGTGACATACACAAATGCTAGATGGAAACTGGCCATGTAGTTGACGAGGATGACTCGGAGTCGGACAAACATGTTCTTGGACTTTTTGGCATCGCGCTCGTTAAGAGCGGAGCCGAGAGAACCGGTTGGCTTGAAGGCTTGTGCTTGACCACCGAGCCATTTGGGCAGGATGAAGGATCGCACGATGCAGAGAGCAATGTAGGGCGACATCCACAATTGGTAGCGCGAGCCTCGCTGACCAGTGTGGTAGCCAGCTGGGATGAAAAGAGCCATTTCGCACAGACGGTTAGAGATGGTTGCGGCGAAGCAGGCCCAGATCAACCAGCGCAGCTGCTCCTCGGTCGCAAAGGCGACTAGGCGCTTACCCCACAGGAGGATGATAGGAATGGCGAAAAGAGAAGCGGTCAGCAGTAGAGTATACACACTGAGAGTGGCGTAGAGGAATCCAGAGAAACGCTGAGCGACGGTCATCTTGCGAACGGCATCACCCCAAAGACAGAACTTGAGCTTGGCAGCTGTGTCCACGGTACCAATAGCCCATCGTGTACGCTGCTTGAGATGTCCACCAAAGTCCTCGGGCACGGTGCCAAATTGAAGCGGTTCATGAACATATGCGGTCTTCCATCCTTTGCCAAGCATCAGCGTTGAAGTCGCGACATCCTCAGCCAAGGAACCAAGCGGGAAATTGCCGATCTCTTCGAGAGCCTCGCGTCGAACAACATAACCCGAACCAGTACACCAAGCCACACCGAGCGCGTCCTTGATCGGCTCAATAACATGCACGAAAAAGTCCAGACTCTGCGCCAGGGGATCGGATGCAGGGGTATTGTAGAAGAGCTGAGGAGGGCATGCAAGGGCCATCTTGGGATCCACCAACAAGTGGGGAAGGATCGCACGAAGCCAGTCTTGTTCAGGAATCTGCGAGCCGTCAGAATGTATATTTGAATACGGGCGGGAAATTTGTAATTACCATGTCGGCGTCCAGCGCAGCCATGAACTGGCCTGCACCGCCGGGCAGAAGGGTAGTCTGTTCCAGACCGTAGTTGAGGTTACCGGCCTTGAAGTGGTGGGGCTTGCCGGGGATTTTTTCACGCGCCATGTAGTAGACGTTGGGGTAGATCATGGCGATTTGGCTGCAGGCTTCTTCGAGGGTCTTGGACTTGGCGTCGTCCAAGACAATGATGCGGAACTGGTCGCGCGGGTAGTCCTGGTCGCAGGCACCACGGACAGTATCGAGAACGACTTCGTCCTCCTCTCCGCAGCAAGTAATGAAGACATCGACAGTCGGGCAGTCCTTGCCGGTCAAGCGCAGCTTTGGGCGGCCTCGCTTCTTCAACGCCATCATCGTCCAGCAGTTGTGCATAAGTGAGGGAATGGCAACGGTGATTTCAATGGCCACGAAAACCCAGGCTCCAGCATACGAGACCTGGGCCACATTCTGTGCCATGATGATGCATGCAATACGCAGACCGAGATAGAACAAGTAGATACCCGTGTTGGCAAACGTGAGGAATGGGACCAGAGCGAAGACCCAGCGCTTCCATCCTTTCCAAGTTTCCGCATCATCTCGGTCGTAAAGGCGAGCAATCGAGCCTGATTTGACCCAATCTCTGGCGAATCCGGGTGAAGCGGGTTCGGTCACGAGGGGAGCAAGACTCATATGGCTTTCGCCGACTCCATTATTCTGGTACTATTCATCGAGACGAATTAGAATATAGCTAAGATAACGAAAAAACGGGGAGCATTACCAGTGTTGGAGAGGCCGACCGCGAGTCATACGGTGTTCGTGAGTCCCAGGGAGTGTTTGGGAGCGAGTCCGAGTTTCCAGACAAGCGTGTGGCGGGCTGAAGCCACACATGCTGGCCATACTCATCGACAGGGAAATGACCCGGTCGCACCGGAGTCAAGGCTCTTGCTGGGGAGTATGGAGCATATGGCTGAGGGTGTTCGAAGCTGCTGTTGTTGCCATAGCCTCGATAGACATCCATCTCGACCTTTTCCTGATCGTCATGACCATAGCGTCCGTCCATGGTGTCGGGAGGCACTAGCCTTGTAGAACAGAATAAAGTAAAGAGAAGAATGTAAAATCCGAAGAATGCTCCCGTAACGAACGTGGTCAGCCACTGCTGGAATGTGAAGAAGAGAGAGAAAGTCTCTTATCTAAGTAAATCGAGGTAAGACTTCTAAGCCCTGAGACTAGCGCAGCCAAGCAAAGGTACAAAGTGGGCTGGAGAGGGTGGAACCGCATGCGGCGAGATGTGATACGCCTACAAAAATAGATTACCATTTAATTGCGTATTCTGGGGGTATTTTGCTTGGAAATTGTAATTTTCTCGGACTAACTAGTGTTTACCGTTTGCGGGTACCTTTTTTTCGATTTCCGTGGTATCGTATTGTAACCAAACAGGGTCTTTTTGGTCTAATTTCCAACTGGAACCCTAATCTGACCAATCAGAATACAGCCTGTCGATCAATCTATGGAAATTGTGCATCGGGTAACAGCGTTGCATGTGCCGTGACGGTGCCTGGCCTGTGTTGTTCCTGTTCCACTGGATGAAAGTGCGGTTCTTATCAGGTGGCTCAGGTGGACTCTGTCCTAGTCTCGATCGTCCGAGACACATCCACTGTCGATTGCCTCTCAAATTTCACTCTTCACCTTGCTTTGCTCTTTGCTTGCTCCTTGCTATTTGCTATTGCTCTTTGTTTGTGAATTGCACCATGGTGTTTGGAGTAGGATTGATCATCAACGCGGTCCTAGTGGCCATCCCGGTCGGGGGAAGCGTTGGAGCATTGATGGGCATCGACGCCCACCGAGCGGCAACAGGACAGAAGCCTTTATTCGCAGGTGGAAACACAGAGGATGGCTCTAGCCCAGGCGGAGGAAATGGTGGAAGTGGAAGTACAGGCGACGGCGGCAACCACAACAGTACCTCTTCGGTCCACGGCACACAAAGCACAGAGTACTGCGATCTCTCATGGGGAATTACACCACCATCCAAGACCGAGCAGTATACCCGTGAGTGAACTCGGACTCGAGTGACTGCGAATAATGACTGACGAATACAGTGAACCCGAATCAATGGGGTGTGGATGGCACCACTGTTGGCAAATTGTGTATGAATGTGCGTACATTCCACCCCGACTCGATTGAGTGGCTACTAATCTATCTCTGTTACAGGTGACTACCTTCAAGAACGAGACTTATCCCACCAAGACTGCACCGGAATTCTCCGTGAACTGGATGTTCGACGCTGGTCCAGAGACCCAGCCTGTGCACGCTTACTCCAACATCCGGGTGGATAATGTCTTGCCTCTGGCTTTGGACTCGATGCAAGAGCTGTATCTCGACCTGCACTGGACATATGGAGTTGGCAACACCTCCGCCGAGACCACATCCCAAGACGACTTAACCACTGCGAACCTCAATACCAACGTGGCTATTGATATGTTCTTGGACAGCGACAAGGATAAAGCAGAGAACGGTACCAACGCCCAGTACGAAGTCATGGTGTGGTTTGCGCAGTTTGGTCCTGCCACCCAGCCGATCGGTCTCAGTGACAAGTCAAAGGCAACCAGAGAGTTGAATGGAACTACATTGTAAGTTGTGCGCCCATGAAGGCTGGATGCACTGGCTAACTGATCTCAGCGATCTCTTCGTTGGCAAAAACGGGCAAGGCCAGACTGTTATGTCTTGGGTTGCGCAAGAAGCCGTCAGCGGCGGTTTCAAGGAAAAGTTCACTGGTGACATCTACCCTCTCATCACCGATCTTTACACTCTGGACCCTTCGAAACTGAAAGACCTTACTCCCCCCAGCAAAGGTGACTTCCTGGGCAGTTTGGCTTTCGGAACCGAAGCCTTCTACTCCAACAGCTTTGTCACATTCTCGGTGCCGCAGTATAAGATCGACATCCGGACTTGAGGTCAGGGTTTGTAAAGTGTATGATTATGAGCATTTTGCTTTTACGTTAGACATGAAGCGTTCTACATGAATCGAGTTTAATTTCATTTTACTTCATTCTACTTGGTATGACTTGTCCAGGAACCACTTGGAAAAGAAAACAGGTTCAATTGTTACATTGACTATGTGGCAAATGACCTAGTTACCCGTATAAATACAAAATACCGTCAGTCTGTTTCCGGCGATGAGAGGGTAACCTCCCCCGCACTCCACGTTGCAGACACAGATGGCACCATACTCATACAGCAAAGAATACAAAAGCAACTTCCAGTTATGCAGTCATGCAGTCATCTCAAACAATGCATTATACGCCAAGTCTGGCTCAAGCCTTGACTCGAGGGTTAGGTGAAACCAAAGTACATAATACAACCAATGAAACCAATTAGCAATATCAGCACCACACAACCCACGTCGATGCCATACTAACCACAAGTTAATGCCTACATGTAAATTGTCTCACATTAAGTTAACTTAACACTTTACCATTTAACGGCGCTGCCTATTATATTCGCTCTAAGGTGCGGGCTATGCTGCTGATCGTCCCCGCAATTTCTGAATCACTTGAACCTTTGTCTTACATTTCAGTTTAGAGTGGATTTGCTTTTTGCTTGTTTGTGAAGTTCCGGAGACGGGATGGTTAGTTGGGTACATCATTGCCAGCTTTGATGGATGCTCCGGGGTGCAAGTACACCGTACACTTCGCGCATTCCGGTTTGGTTCTGGGTTTGATTTTGATTTTCCTTTTTGACATGCATCTTTCTTTTTCGCTTTTTTTTTTTGTTTTTGTATTTTTTTAATACTGTTTAGTGTATATTAATTTACTGCTATTATTAACAGTGGTGCTTTTCCTCTGAAATATCTTGCAGATGTTAGCCGCTTCCTGCGATCTGAGCGCTGTTGCTATGGCTAAGGATACCGAGCGCATCGGTCTGGCTATCCCGGCCTAGACTTAAAATTTTCAGAATTACGCCAGCATCACGCTACTGCTGCGCCAAATCCTGATGAGCTTTATTTTCAATCTATTTATCACACCATCGCGGGTGGCTGGTCAATTTGATTTCTTCATGGATCCGGATCAGCGAGTGTAGGGTATGGGTGGATTTGATATGCAAATCATGCTTCAAATTGCCTTCTATCGAAACCACCATGTCCCTTATACACTCAACACACGAGACAAGTTACCATTTTAGCCACGATGGCGAAATAAAGAAGCTGGTTCCGATGTGTCAAACTCTGCGGCTCTCCCCTTGGCATTGAGCACGACATCTTCAGGACCCACTTTGCACGTTTTTTTCTATCAATCTCCAGATGGTAGTTTCTTCTTTTTTTCTTTGCCATCCTTTCTTATATATTGTTTAATATTGTTCATAGGACTCAATAGAGTCTCGCGCTCATCATGTCCACCGAGGTTCCAGCAGGCGAGATCGAGCATGAGTTGCCACAGACCCAGATCACCCGTTCGCGGTGGTCATTTTTCCGATCTATCCCCTTCCAGATCGCTGTCGCGAGTGGTGTCTCATTCACTGCACCTGGAATGTGGGATGCGCTGAACAATGTTGGAGCCGGTGGTGCTGCTGAGCCCTACGCCGTCTCTGCGGCGAATGCTCTCGTCTACGGTCTTTTCGCGGTTGTCTGTGTCGCTGCTGGCGCAATTAACAACCGCATCGGTCTTCGTTTTGGTCTTGTTCTTGGTGCTATCGGTTACCCCATCTACGGTGCTGGTCTCTATACCAACAACTACCACCCCACGACTTGGTTCATGCTATTCGGTAGTGCACTGTGTGGTATCTCTGCTGGATTTTTCTGGGCGGCCGAGGCTGCTATTATCATTGGTTATCCCAGTCCTACCGAGCGCGCTTTCTATCTCGGTATGCACATCTACTACACTTACATACATTGGATATCTTATACTAACAACCTCCCAGCTATCTGGCAAACTGCCAAAGCAGCCGGTCCCATTGTCGGCGGCGCTATCAGTCTGGGCCTCAATGCGCAGACTTCCGGCAAAGGAACCGTCAGTGCCTCAACCTACATCGTCTTCATTGTGATCATGTGCCTAGGCCTCCCAATCGCGCTCTGCCTCAGCCCAGCCGAGAAAGTCCAACGCAAAGACAAATCCCTCGTCCTTGTACACAAGCAAGAAACCTGGGCAAAGGAATTCAAAGCCGCCTTCAAACTCATCGCAACCCGCCGCGTTCTCCTCCTTCTGCCATCCTTCTTCATCAGCTACTTCTACAACGGCTTCCTGAGCACCTGGCTGACAGACTACTTCACCGTCCGCTCGCGCGCCTTCTCCTCATTCTTCACCAACTTCGCCGGCATCGCCTCCTCCTTCATCCTCGCCGGGCTTCTAGACCGCCAGTCTATCTTCATCAAGACCCGCGCCAAGATCGCCTTCACCTCCATCGTGGTCATTCTAACGGGGACCTGGATCTGGGCTACAATCCTCCAGAAACAATTCTACGACGCCCCCGAACCTCCTCTCTTCGACTGGTTCAAGGGCGGTTTCAACAAATCTTACGCCCTGGTCTTCTTCTGGACCTTTGGTGGTCAGGCTTTCCAGCAATTCCTGTACTGGCTCATCGGCCAGTACAGCACAGATCTGTCCTCGCTTTCCTACCACTGTGGTATCCTTCGTGGATTCGAGGCATTGGGTCAGACTGTTGCATGGGCTATGCAGTCCCAGGGTAATGCGAACCATTTTGTCAGTATCGGACTCAACTTCGGTATTACTTTGCTTGCGTTCGTTCCTACGTGGATTGTTCTTAATGAATTGGAGCATAGTCATGAGGTGCAGGTTACTGCTGAGGAGCAGCATGAAGCAACCAAGACGGCTGATGGTTCTTCTGCTTGAGGTTTGATACCTCTTGTTTTTTTTTTTTTGTTTTGCATCATTCTCGGATTCGGTTCTTGAGAATGCTTCATTGTATGATTTTTTTGTACTATAGATATATACCCCCACGCGCTCATACTCAACGCCGAGCCTTATGTTAAAAATGTATAACCTTTCAACAGCTATCTATCTCCACAATTCGCATTGATCAATGCTAGTGCTAGGTAAGAGACTGCCGAGGTCTATGGCGTTAGACCTATGTAATGAACCCTTCTAGAACACCATAGAACAACCACGCCTCAAGCGCTAGTACAGTCCAGGTACAGAACGCCCTAGACCAAATTGGAAAACATACTTCCCGGAATAGATGGGGCTCGGTCACGCGCAATCCAATTCCAAGTGGCTGTGGACACCGCAGTATCGTATCTGTACTAGAATGGATATGATATTTACCGGCACCGTTGCGAGTACAGTAATTGATACCGAGCTAGGGCTAGAATGTGGTGGAGATTTCGGCCTTTCTAAGGGTCCACATCTCGATCTCAACGTTAAATAACTTAAAGAGTGAGAACAGTATATGTATATATCATAAATGGGTAGATGTAGTCAGAGTGTCTGATATGTTTATCCAAGGATACAAAAGTACAACAGATAATATAAAGTGAAAACAAATTGAATAACCATACTACGTACAGTAATGCAAAAGCATAAAAACCCAACTATTTTTAGACAGCGAAAAAAACGCTCGCCCCACTTGAACATTCGACGCGAAATACACATCCATGCCCTATCCCGATCCATTATCCATTATTTTTTAGATCATTGTATTGTAACGCAAGTTGACGCATCAGCTGATTCTACGTCCCATCGGGTTCCCGATCCCCAGCCACAGGGACGGCCATAGGGACGGGTGGCTGGGAACTTATGCGCATATTGACATACGCCAGGGTACCTAGTTCGCATACGTAATTGGCGTTCATGCGTATGCAACCTCACAGAACTACAGTACAATACATGTGCATATGTGTACATGTGAATGCTGGAAAAGGTATCAAATGTGGTGATTTGGCCAATTGGATCACGCCGGAATCCGCGGATGGGAACGGGTTATGCCGGTCTTTCTAGAAGGTGAGACTTTTATGGTAAGTTAGCATAGACGGAATACCCTGTAGAGAGTGTAGATTGGCATCGTCGGATATGTCGGGAGTTGGGAGCTAAGGTAGGAGTTAGCATAGCAAACATGGAGTTCGCTGTATCCTTCAGGCGCAGGTACTGTTTGTTGCACGGGGCCCTGGGACCGAAGATGAGTCGCTTAAAATTCGAGTCTTTAGGTTGCCACTTTGTCCCTTGGGAGCGGAGGAACATCACCAATCGCGGGATGGGCATTGGGCTGTGTATTGAATATCTGAAGAATTAAGATAATTACTTGAAAGTGAATAATTGTGGAAATAGTGCATGGATTGGATTGAATTGGCCTGGGCTGGTGACTGTGCAATCCGTCCACTGCCGCAGGTTGCGTGGCTCAAAACCATCCAGTTCCCCATCTCTGCCTTTTCTTTTCTTCCCTTGATTTTCTTCCATTTTCTTCCGTTTTCTTCGTTCGCTTGAACTGAACTTGAACAGTGCTTCATTTGAATTCTTCTCGGCCTGTCCCTCATTGTACTACACGTCTCCACTGCCATCTCGAATCGGACCCAGTTCGCCTCTCAAAGAGTGTCTCACATAGACAACTTGCAATCACTACAGACACAGACACAGACATAGACACAGACCAGTCCCCAGTCCACTTCACACTCCATCGTTCTCTACAGATATACGCTTGGCACATCCACCCAACTCCACAGCAGATCACAGCCGTTTCAGACCTGCCTTGATCTCGGACGCTAGCACCAAGTACGGTGGACCTAATAAAATGGCCGCCCCCCAACATGGACGAAGCCGCGGCTTCAGCGTCAAATCCGACAAGTCTCTGTCAAAAGAATCAGGCACTTCCAGCCATAAACGTGGTCCTTCTGAATCTTCCGAAGAGAAAGCGCGTCGCAATTTACACACGAAAGCCGATCCTCTGGTCGCCATGAACGAACTCCAGCCCAGTACGTGTTGTCACTGCTGCTTTTCTGCTTTCGCCCGGTCGCATTTGTCCCATTCTAACCCTTCACAGGTATGATGGCCCTGGAAAAGTCCAATCTGGGCTCCCTCCGCGAGATGGAACACAAAGATCAATTCGGGAATGTTATCAGTAAGTCCTCGTTCTCCACTGGCCGTCGACCGTTGGAATCCTTGCTAATCCCTTGCGCAGCCGATCCTGACCTGTCAAACCCCACCCGACCACGTTTCGAGCGACCGTTAGATACAATTCGATCATTTGAGGCGGCCATCTACGGCAGCAGTCGTGCGGCATACGCCCGAACAGGTACGTCCAATCCAATCAGCCGACTATCGGGCGGGAATTGAGTCTAACATCGAGTAGAAGATGCAGGATCACAAATGGGCGATTTCAGCAGACGAACAAGCTACTACGGAGGTATGCTACAATCCCAATCCCAATCCCATCCTCAATATCCAACCTCTTAACACCATTCAGGCCAAAACAACCACTCATCCCGCTACGACCAGCAAAACCCCCACGGCCAATCCCAATCGCGCCCAGACAGCGTCATAAACGCGTACCAGAACACACCCCAAGCCCAGGAAAACCCCTACCCATACAATAACGGCAACGGCCGCTCCTCCCGACGGCCCCAACACCCACGCGGCCCCTCAACCTCCACAGTGCCCGCCTCCCCAATCTCCCAAGATCCACAATACGGCAATATCGCAAACACAATGCACAACAACAACAACCAATACGGCTACCCGCAACCCGGCCACGGCTACCAACGTTCCTACGATAACGTCACTGCGCAGTCTGGCTCCGGATCGGGCCATACGGACGTCTACCAGACTACAGATCCCAGTTCCCTGAATAGCTCTAATGACCATTTGCAGCAGCAGGTCCTGCACCAGCAGCGGATGGATGAGCGTGCTCAGGCTGAATATGGGTTTAATGGGTTTGGGGCTTCGCCTAATCTTAAGGGTGGACAGCAGGGCGTACAGCCCATTGGAGATCCGAATTGGGGTGGGCCCGTTGGTGGACGGCCTGTTCCTGCTCATGCTCCTGCTCAGGCTCAGGCTCCTATAGCTATGGGTGGGGGTAGAGCTGGTGTCCTTCAGAAGAAGGAGAGTCAGTCTGGTGGGGACAAGAGGAAGAGCTGGTTTAAGCGCCGGTTTAGCAAGGATTGAATTCGTTGATATTCGGTCTGGATGATGGGTAATACGTTTGTTGTGTTGACCTGGGTATCCTACATGTATACCTGGAATAATGTGTTTATGCTTTGAGATGCATCATCCCCTTTTTTTCTGTGGTTTGTTTGGGGTCTGGCGTCCCTCATCTTTCTTGTTTTCTTCTCCTGTTTTTCGTGTTTGTTTTCATATCACAAGCTGTAACGAGGTTATGATACATGGGACCATGGGATATGCGATGGACTGGATCACTTATTTATGCTACGTTGTTTTTTCTTTTCTCTTAGTGTCTTGTATTCTCTTGGTCGGGCATTCCTTTGTACTCTGTACTTTATCTTCATTTACAAAGATCGATAAATTCAGATTCGAATATCATTCGGGAATTCCCTTGCTTTGCTTCATTCGAATGGGTTCATATGTACTTTACATATCTGACTAGGGATAACTGCAATGATTCTATACCCGCAGAGAGATGTGGCCTACCTGAGAGAACGTTAAGTTATAGTATACAACAACCAATATGCAAGAAAACAAGATCAAAAACACATCCATTCCATTAACCTCAAGCAAACATAAAATGGGAATCACAAAAACAACAAGACCTAACAACCTCATCCCTATCCCTCTCTCCCCTTCTCCTCCGTTCTCCTCTAACAATCTACTTCCTCCCAAGCAACTTATTCTTCAACTTATCCGCCAGCCCCTCATGCGAAAGCGACTTCTCCCTCTCCTTATCCTTCTTCTCTTTCAAAGAAGCTTCGTCGAGGTGGATATTTCCCTGGCCGCCGCGCTATACCACAAAATACCAGTCAGCAACTAAACCCAAGCAAGATTGATCTCAAGCAAAGGGTAAATGTGTTCACCCACCCCAACATGATAATTCTCATCCGTAGACCCCCGAACCGCTAACTCGGGGATCATCTCGGCGTCGTGGGGGACTTTCGAGGTTGGGCGCACCATTGGGGAACCGATGTTTCCTGCGCCGCCGCGCTGTTAGGAGCGTTGTTAGTATATGTGAGGTATAGACTTGATTTGCAGTGTATAGTGGAGGTCTGGATCCAGATCTTGGAATACAGCTGGGCATGCACTTACACCGGCAGAGTAAGCACCATCACCCTGATCACCGTAGACGCCCTCGCGAACGATCTCGCCGTCGACGTATCTGTTTTCTGTTAGGCCTGGTCTTTCCATATAATATCATATTGTGTGATATGGAGTGGTGTGGGGTGCAAGTGCGGGGACGTACTCGGTATCATCATGGCCGATATTGCCCTGGCCTAGGTACATATCAGTATTATATCCATAGGGTTGAATAGAATAGAAAACGGGTAATACCTCCTCGGCCGTGTGAGACCATAGGTTGATCTTGTTCACCCATTGTATCTGTTTGGGATGCTGTTAGATTGAGGATATGAGGAGGAGTGAGGGGCGATGGGGCGATGAGGGACCCTTATCACTATAGGTCACAAGACGATAAGGTAAAGGGACCTCCGTATGCAGGTACGCCTTTAGGACTCTAGATTGGATCTCCACTTACTTGTACTTGTAGTCTAGGGATGTCCGTTGTATATTAGATGTTCGATGTTGATCTTGATCGGATCAGATCAGGAGGTGGAGGAAGGGGGGATCTAGACTGTTAAATATGACAGGGGCTGGGAATATAACAGTCACTTCGGTAGGATTATTACGACTTATTTTCTTGTTAACTTGCCTGTTTGTAGTGACGTTCTGTGATAAGATAAGAGGTGCCGATTGGTGGGAGTGTGACTAAGTAGTATATATCCTGATAGCGAGCTTGGCATATAGTTACGAGTTTTATAAGTTAAAGGGGATATTGGATATTTGCATTCATTCTGATTAAAACAGTTCATAGCTACGGCACGTTTTGAGAGATACTGTCAAATTAAAGGATCTTGTTAAGCGCCTCACTTACCCTTCTTCTTGTCCTCGCCCGAGCCGCCGGTAGTAGGGAGACCCATGAAGATCTTGAAGGAGTCATAGCTGCGAATCCAAGGTCAGTATAAATCAACAACAAGCAGGAAAGGAAAAAATAAAAGACATACATCATCCACTGCAGACCAGTCTGTCATACCATGTTAGCACGACTCAAACCACTTTCAAACGGGAACTCACCAAAGTACCAATCATCACAATCCGAACAGGCAATCCATTCCACAATCCCCGGAATCCGATATCTCCGTAGATCCGACTCATAGCAGCACCAAATGCCTCACCGAACTGGCGATTGGCATTCAATTTGCTGACCATCACATCGGCAGGGTGCGATACCACAGCACACAGGATACCAGCTAGGTAACCACCGGTGAAGGCAACAGCAGTCTGGGCACCCTTGTTGTAGTCGGACTTGTGGCCTGGCAGCTGGCGGTAGATCATCTCGACGATAGTTTCGAAAGACGCGAACTTCATCATGGTGTATGGAACCTGACGGCCCCAGAGGGGGTAGAGGCCCTTATAGAGACTGGCTATAGTCAGTATACTGATTGAGACATGCTGACTTGGTTTGGAATATGGGAATGCTACTCACCCGGCCACACCCTCTTTGGCGACAACACCGGAGATACCACTGAACGTACCCCGGATATCAGGAGGAATGGTAGTTTGTGTGCGCACTTTGATAGACTCGAATGGACACAGAGCTACATCGGCGATGACCTCGGCCGAAGCACTGGCTGTCAGGTACAGGGAGGTCTTCCATTTGTGGGCATTCTCCTGGCCAACGAGGTCGCTGTAGAAGCTCTTGAAGAACTCGTAGCCTCCATATTTGAAGGCACCTTGGGCCTTTGTTTACTGAGTCAGTATATAAAGTCTGTGCATAAGTGTAGTAAACTCACGCTGTATCCGAAGAAAGTAGGACTCCAGCCAGTGAAAATACCTCGGAAACCCTCGGCAGCACGGATGGTCCGGTAAGCCTGAATATTGCTCTGATAGAGCTTGGGGTCGACTTGGCGACGACATTTGATCAGATCAAGAGGTGTCACAGCGGTGTGGGTTAGGCCCTGGTAGGAAAATGGTATATGAGTGGCTGTCACGAGAGCGTGGATGGGAAGAGTTGCTTACACACGCGAGTATACCACCAAAGGTGCATGATGCATAATACTTGAGAGAGCCAGGCTCGATCTTGCCTGTCCTCTCTTGGACTTTCTTGCTTGCCAGGTTGAATTCGCGATCCGCTTCGTGGGCGATTGCATCGGCTTTGCTTTTAGCGCTGTCAATGGCACTCCACGCGGGGAACGGCGCGGGTCTTTTGGGGACCGGCTCTGTGGGTTCAGACTGGGCAGCTGGAGTGCCCAGAGGGTGTCCAGCAGCCAGCATGTTTATGATTGACTGTGGAAACATGATGTTGTTACCGTACTTTATGTACTCCGTAGAGGGAGAGAGAGAAGAAGAGGGAAAATGGCGCATTACATCATTGTAGCTTAAGCGGCTCTCCCACCCTAGAGGGCTGCAGCCCAGCTCTGGAGTTGGGGGCCAATGTAAGTCTCATATGATCCGGGCACTTGGTGCCCCGTAAGCTGTCGGAGCTCAAGTGTAACTACCCCTTCTTGGCTACATGTGCCCGGCTTTGGGGATCATGAGGGCTTTGCCGGCATGGTTTGTACTACATCGCACAATTTCTTCAGAGCGCCCGAACCGAACTGTTGTTCGAGTATACTTCTGCCATCGCAGTATACAATTGTCGATCATTCCCCACATTGCTCCTTTGTGGCGTATAACGTTTTGTGGTCGTTCAAGGGAGTATAATATGCCACTCAAGAGAGCCCCCCAATAGCTCCTCAGCTGATCTTGATGGTATACTCTCTAATACAAATCTCAGATCTTCTTGAGGGACGCTTCGATGTGGGTATTAAGTGGAGTCATGTCTGAACATCCGAACGCAGAATGCGATCCCCACCAACGTATGGTGGGGTGAACCTAGGTACAAGTAGACCAAAACAGAGACGGACTTTCTTTTCGTCAAGATCATTGAGATAATACAGTCTTGTACACTCCTTAGATATGTGTAGAATGGTAAAATGTCACTTCAAGATGACGTATGAGCCGGTTGGTCTTGGCAGTGGAGAAAGAGGAAAGGCGCCGAGTTTGATCAAAAAGTTAACGGTTCTTCTCTCTACACACGCAGCTTGCAGATATCTCACATCTTTCCTGAGTTAATTCTTTACAGCCTCCACCTCGGTCTTCCAATACCTCCACCTCCCATCCACCACCCTCCCCTCCTTGATCACACCCAAAATGGCATCATACCTAACCGGCAGCGAGGCCTTCACTCGCGAGAATCTACCAACCGAAACCTCAAACGCAGGCCCCCAAGCAGCATGGGCAGACAAATACCGCGGGGTCCGCACCCACCCCCAATGAAGCCCACACACCAAACTAACCAAAAAACAGGCAACAATTGAAGACCTCGACCCCCCACCCGCGCTTTCCATTTCCTCCGAAGACCCAATTTCCACCGCCCTAATGGCCGCCTACGAGCGCGACTACACCCACCTAACCGTCATCTCCCCCACCAAGCGCTCCCTCCTCGGCTACCTCAGCATCCCGCGCCTAAGAGAGCTCCTCCAATCCGGCGCCGTCAAAGAGTCCGACCCCGTCTCCGCAGCGATGCAGCGGTTCAACCGCAAGCGCGGCATCTACCAAGTTATCACGATGGAGACGCCCCTTGAGGAGCTGGAGCAGTTCTTCGAGAGCGAGACTGGGCCCAATGGCGATAAGCGGGAGAAGCAGCAGTTCGCTGTTGTTACGGATGTTGCGCGCAAGTTTGTTCTTGGTGTTGCTACTAAGGCTGATCTTGAGGAGTTTGTTAAGCGCAGACCTAACTGATGTAACTTGCGTGTTGCTTAAAGTAGTGTGTGTGTGATGTGGGATGTGGTTTCCTTTCGGCACAGCATATCGGCGTATTCTGTCTATCTGGGCATCGTCTTTTCTCTCTATGCGGTTCCTTCAACATGAACCGGGTATATCTAACATGGGTTGGCTGGGATGAGTGGATGTGTCGAGGCTTTATACGTCTCGGATTCGTCTGTGGTGTGTGTGGGTTGTTCTTATGATATCCAATGACACGAATGACTTGGTCAATCTGTAACTTTTTTTTTTTAATTGCAGATGGTTGATGTGCTTTAGTATACAAAAAAGCCCGTAGAAACCCGAAGTGAATACCGCAACGCCGAAGTAGAAGCCATCCGCAGACCCGACTCGATGCGAAGCTGCTCACTGGGCTTTCTTTGAATTTGACTTGGACTTGTCCGTCTGTCTGTCCTCTTGGTCTTCTTTCCAGGCCACATAGATGTATGCGAACAAGACCACGTTCGCAGTTACGGCGGCAGTAATTCCAGCCAGTGTGGAGCTGCCTATATGATATATCTGGTTAGAAGACATTCTTGTAGGTGGAAGTGAAGGCGCATACCACTGAAAATGGTGTTCACCGTCAGGAAATACATTCCAATGGGGGCAGCAACCATGGCTGCTGTGAAACCAAGAAGCTTGTAGATCACATCGCTATATCAGAAGATGTATGAGAGCTGGTCTTGTACTTGGATGGCAAGGTATCTTACGCAGGGACAGCGGGGGTCACATCGGAGGTGCCTGGAGCTGGGGCTTTGGCGACATCCGCGTAGGACTGGCCATGGGGACGACGGGCAGACATTGGTGATTTAGTTGTCTAGGATAGAGAAAGTGTAGATGTAGCAAGACGAGTGGAACAGAGATGAAGGGCGGAGACTAGTTCCCGCATGTCACATGCCAGCACTTGATTGGTTGGGAGTATAGACAGTATACAGTATTATGTTCGGTGATGAGATGAATGGTTATTGCTGGATAATTTTATAATTTATTCTATTCTTCTTCTATGCATTGCTTTGTCCTGTCTAATTGATAGACACGTGATTGGGCGCGTCCAGCATTCGCGTTTCCGCCCCGGCAGAAAAAACAGTTCTTGAATCGCCATCAGATAGAGCCTCAATGCTATTCAAAAGTCGCTATGGACTCTGTTCCTGACATTCCCCACAAGACACCCTCTCCCGACCCCGAGTACGAAACTATAGCCACTCTCCCTGTCGCAACCCCATCGCAGCGCTTAACACAACCGACCCAACTCGTCGACAATCCCTACTCGCGGAATACTGTTATCCAAGTCGCCGCTTCTTCGCCTACCGGTCCTGCCTCTTCCCCACCTCGAAGACCTCAGGGAGGTTTGCTCTCATCTCTCATTGCCCCTTCGGGAACCCAGTTCCGCCCTCCTTCCGCCGGACCTGCCAAAAGAAAGCCGGTATTCGATCTTGACGACGGTCCAACGTATCGAGGTGGCTCGTCTGAAGACGAGCAACCCCTTCGCAGTACCGATATCAAACCTGCCATGTTTGAAAAAACCGCTCGCAGTCCCGAAAAAGAAAAAGTCATGGAGTCCCCTGTCCGCCCTGACGCCGGTCCAATGGATCGATTCCGTGAAATTACTGCCTCCGCAATGTACGATCCCAAATCTGCTCCTATGAAACGCTCCGCAGACTATATGAGCGACTCGAATCCCAAGGGCGTCGCTATGAAGAGAATTCGACAGGATGCACCCTCCCGCGCACAGCCCGTCCCCCTTGTACCAACCCCCGATATCACTTTTATCCAAGATTACAGATTGCGCATCAAGGTCGAGCGCATTCTCAAGATAATGCCTCTTATGCCCGTGCAGACAATTATCAATGCTGTTGTTCAAGCCAATGGCCATTACGATAACGCCCTCAAAATTCTGGGCGATAGTGTCCTGGCAAATAGTGTCCAGACCGTGGAGATTGAATCATCCGAAGATGAATTGGCTTCGCCAGCAACTACAGGTCCGGTCCCCGTGGCCAAGCAGAAGATCAAGGCCCGTGGGACTATCCAGGACAAGTGGGCGGCCATGAAGCTGCCCGCCACCAAGACTCAGGACTCCGACGAAGAGAATAAGCCCAAGCGCCGCCTCGTCCGCGGTCCCAAGACCTCCCGCACTGCCTCTCCGGCTCGCCCCATGATAATTGACTCCGATGACAGCCCGCCAAAGAAGAAGCTTGGCCGTCTCCAGAAGGGCCGCAAGATGGCTTCGCCTCGCTCGGAATCCCCTGAGGCTATGATGAGTGATTCAGATGATTCAGATATTCAGATGCAGGAACCCACCGCTGGCGGACTGGATTCCAAGGTCCTGAAGTTCTTCAACACTTGCGCGGTCCGTGATCTGGCTGATATTGCTGCAATTCCCGAGGAACAGGCCCAGATTATCATCAAGAACCGTCCCTTCCAGTCCCTCGATGATGTTCGTGTTGTTTCTGCTCCTGTTCCAGAGACCAGCAAGCCCAAGGGCAAGCGGGGTGGCAAAGCCCCCAAGCCAATTGGTGAAAAGATTGTCGACAAGTGTGTTGACATGTGGACTGGCTATATGGCCATTGATGCGCTTGTTGCTGAGGTCGAGGCAATCGGTGAGCCCATCACCGCGGAAATGAAGAAATGGGGTGTCGACATGTTCGGCAAAAAGGATGGTGAGCTTGAGCTCACTAAGATTCCCAACACCAAGGCACACGATTCGGGCATCGCAACCCCTTTGTCCGATCGCCAATCACCTGACGAGGACGAGGATTCGCTCGTCCCGATGCGCAAGTCCCGGTTTATCGGTCAGCCTGCCATCATGGCAGATGACCTTGAAATGAAGGATTACCAAGTGGTGGGAATCAATTGGTTATCACTTCTCTTTGAGCAGGAACTGAGCTGTATCCTGGCTGATGACATGGGTCTGGGTAAGACTTGCCAGGTCATTGCCTTCCTGGCTCACCTCTTTGAGAAGGGCATCAAGGGGCCTCACCTGATTGTGGTGCCGTCTTCTACTATTGAGAATTGGCTCCGCGAGTTCCAGAAGTTCTGCCCAACTCTCTCGGTCATGCCTTACTATGCCGGTATCAACCAGCGTGCTGAGATTCGAGAGCAAATTGAGGACAACCGCGACAACATCAATGTTGTCATTACCACTTACACCATTGCAAAGGCGAAGGTTGATGCCAAGTTCCTTCGCGATGTGGATTTCACTGTTTGTGTTTACGATGAGGGTCATATGTTGAAGAACCACCAATCTCAACTTTATGAAAAGCTCATTCGCATACCTGCCCGCTTCCGACTCCTCTTGACCGGTACGCCTCTTCAAAACAACCTGCAGGAACTCGCTTCTCTTCTCGGTTTTATCCTACCCTCTGTCTTCCGTGAGCACAAGGAAGACCTCCAGGCAGTCTTTGCAAACAAGGCGAAGACCACCGATGAGTCCCACGCAACCTTGCTCTCGGCGCAGCGTATCGAGCGTGCTAAGTCGATGCTCAAACCATTCGTCC